GTCGCATGTGGATCTGAGCTTTGGCAATTCCTACAGCTTCACCCACGCAAACGTCTATGGCACCCACGTCCTTTTGGAGGGCGCCAAGAAGGCTCGCATCAAGAGATTTATCCATGTATCGACAGACGAGGTGTATGGCGAAGTTGGCCACGGCGAAGACGAGCTGCAGGAGTCGAGCATTCTGGCCCCAACCAACCCTTATGCCGCAAGCAAGGCTGCCGCCGAAATGATGGTGCACTCATATCACAAGAGCTTCAAGCTGCCGACCATTATCGTTCGCAGTAATAACGTCTATGGTCCCCACCAATATCCCGAGAGTGAGTTTTTTATTCAAAGTTCTTCTCAGCACTATGTTCTAACTGATTTGGCTAGAAATTATACCCAAATTCATTTCCCTGCTCAATCGAGGCCACCCTGTGGTCCTCCATGGCGATGGCAGCCCAACCCGGAGATACCTCTTTGCTGCAGACGCCGCGGATGCCTTTGACACGATACTTCACAAAGGCCAGATTGGCCATGTGTATAATGTGGGCTCTACCGACGAAATCTCCAACCTCGAGTTATGCGGCAAAATCTTATCCGCCATGGAGATTGCCCATGACACCCCAGAGCAGTTTCGGAAATGGGTCAAGTACACTCACGATCGACCGTTCAACGATTGCAGGTATGCCGTCGACTGGTCAAAGCTACGCAATTTGGGCTGGGAGCAAAAGACGACGTTTGAAGAGGGCCTGCAGATGACGGTGGAATGGTACCGCCGCTTTGGCGAGCAATGGTGGGGAGACATTAGTCACGTCCTCACTCCATTCCCCATTGTTAGTGAAGGCGAGGTTGTCCCTGATGTTGAGCATCTTGCCAAGGATGATCCTCCAACCCCCATCGAAGATTACCCGCTCAATGGCATTTCTCATAAAGCAAGCTGATTTTTTTTTGTCTTCTCTTTCTTATCGCATCCTAGCGATCCACTTACAGCCGCGCAATGTCCGGTTATTTATTCTTGTCACATGGTTTGGACGTGTCAACTATATCGGTGAATTTGACACGAGATGAAAACGGAGTTTACGGATATCATGAGCATAAGAACGGCGCCCACAGCACCCACAGCAGAGATTATACCAGGGTTAGAAATAGTGAAATAAACAGAAATAGACACTGTAAGAACATGGCGCCATTGAGCTACGTCAAATCCCACAGATAGAGCGGTACTATTCACGCTCGTGTTCTCAAATCATACATCTGTCTTGGTAAAATGCGTCATATACAGCCCATCATGGCCTTTCTGCGCTCAATCTACCAAAGTATCGTAATTTGTTCACATGTTCGTACTCGCCGACAGTAAAATCACGCCAACAATAACAACAACGCTTAACAACCTCCTCCACCACATCCACCACCACCGCCGCCGCCGCATCCTCCTCCTCCTCCTCCTCCTCCAGCACATCCGCCGCCTCCTCCTCCAATACCACATGCCGCTCCACCACCCGCGGAAGCACATGCACCCTGGCCCTGTAGAATTCTTCAATTAGCTTACGACAAGACTAAGACGCAACCCAACGGAGCGTATCGTGAAACTTACTGGGTTGACAGAGCATCCACCAGGGCCTCCACAGCCTCCCGCGGCGATGTTTCCGTTTCCACAGGTTCCGGCGGCGCAGTTGGCCCAGGCTCCATCTCCCGCGGCCATGTAGCACGGATCCCAGCCGTAGTATAAGCCTGGGGCGAAGTAGATGGGATACATGAACGGGCCGTACACTCAAGGGGGGTTTTGATGTCAGTATTTGGTTTTGTTCCAAGCGGCCTTGACATGAAGGGGGGGGGGTTTCTTTTTCTTACTGTAGTAGTTGTATCCCCAATGATCGTAATACTCGTCCCGGGGCGGCAAGGCCCTCCCCTTCTTCTCCGCCCGCCTGGCGGCCTTCTGGTAGGCCTCGTTGAGGCGGCGGTTCTGGCGGGCGCGGATGTAGGCCGTGAACTTTGCGCGCTCGGGGGTCTCGAGGGTGCGGACCGAGTTGTGGGCCGAGATGTGCGCCGAGTTGTCCGGGGGGCAGAGCTTGGCGGAGCCGGAGTCGTGGAAGACGTCGGCGAGCTTTTGGCTGGAGGAGACGTTGAAGATTTTGCCGATTTTGGAGCCTTGGGAGACGCGGATGGCTGGGAGGGCGTTTGTTTGTTAGTTAGTTGCTCTCCTTGTTGGTGAAGAAGGGTGGTTAGATGTATAGGGCTTACACTCGCAGTACCAGCATGTGCACTCGCTGTATACTTCTTTGAACAGTTCTTGATATGTCTTGGTGGTCCATTCGAATGCGTCGCTTAGTTCGCCTTCTTCAATCTTGTCGTCGTGGTCGATAAACTTTGTCGTCTCCTTTACGGTGTAAGCGTAGTAATCCTGGGGACTCAGCTGGTGCGTGTGCCAAGCCAGATCTACATCCAATGTAGGAACGGCCATCTTGAAGGGGTTCTTTTTGATAATCTGCATGAAGCGGTTGTACTTTGTGATGAGGCGGGCCATGGTGGCCTTGGCGGACGGGCTGTGCAGCCAGTCAAGCTTGACCATCTTCTCGACAAAGACGCCTTGACGCATGACGGCGCCGCACAGGTCGAGCGCGAAGGGGGAGAAGTTTTCCCAGTAGCGGCTCATCATCTTGCGGGTGACGATCTTGGCGTCGCGCCGGATGAGCTGGAGTCCCACGCGGCGCGTTGAGCCGTCGATTCGGCGGACGGCTTCGTCGCTGCGGATGGTCTTTTCGATGAGGTCGCGCACGTCGGCCATGGAGGGGGAGGATTTGGGGCTTTGCGATGTGGGATCGAGGAGCTCGACGATCTTGATGCGGAGTTCGTGCCGGATCATGCGGTTTGGAAACATGCGGGTGAAGTTTGGGACGACTAGGGGGTTGGGTGTGAGTGATGGCTGGCCGGACGTAATGTCGAGCAGGGTGCCGGGCATTGGGACGCCTTTTCCGAGTAGAAGAGTGGTGTCGTGGACGAACTTGGAGAGGGAGAGGATTTCCTTGTTGATGGCTTTGTCGCAGGACGGGCATTGGTGTGAGAAATTGCCGTCGCCGTATCCGCTTCCAAGGATGCCAATCGGTCTATATTCATCAAGTGTTAGCTGCCAAGGGTTGTTTTGAGCGCACTCAACATGGCGATACTTGCATTGACGTATCTGCATCTTCGACGGCTCCGCAGGTGGTCCAAGGAACTCGCATGTCCACCTTGCACCACGGGCACTTGAGCGTCTTGACCATGGGATCTGCCGAGTTGTTCCATTGGCGCCCTGTCAGAAGCCAGTTGCTCTTTGCCACTTCACTGGGGGTTTCCTCGAAATCAACGGTGATAGCCTCAGATACTGCCTTCCATGGCATGCCCGCGGTCCAGTATTCGACCAAGCCGGCGCGCATAGTGTCTTCGAGGAAGGCTCTGGGGTTCAACATGTGGGCATGCATGACCATGAGGACGTCTGGAGATTTGTATCAGCCAAAGGTTTCCTATCTAATAAGCGCAGTGGAGGGTCAGCTTTTGAGCTGTCGAGAATTAACTCACCCAACGGTGGAATCGAGTCTCTTGTCCAACCTAGTGGTTTGCCGCTGGTTGAAAAGGCGATGTACTTGGGGCTATCTGGCGTCGACATGTCTTCTTCGGTCAACATGGTCTTGCTCTGGGCCATTGCATTCCACCACGCCTCATATCTATCCACTGCTCGTGCAAGGAAGATGGCCCATCGCTTTTCGCGCAGACGACTAAGAGCAAGCTTTTCTTTGTCACTTTCACCAAGCTTGTCTAGCTGAACTCCTGGAGGCAGGGCCGCGCCATGAAGAATCTCGGTGTCCCATTTGGCACGACTGTCGAAGATGCCATAGAGGCCGTCGGTATAACCCACATCTTCCTTGAGAGTGTCGATGGCGTGGAGAAGCTTCAAGTGAGCGAGAGTGGTGTCAGCATTAGGGCCGCCAGTTGCCGGGCCGGAAGAGAGGGAGAGATTGGCAAAGGCGGTCGTAACGTCGATGTTTTGGGATGGATCTGTGGCATCTAGAACATCTTCGGTTGCCGTGGTATAGCTTGGCGGTGCTTCGCCATCAGGCGGCGCCTCGCCCTTGGACGCCTCTTTGGTCATGGTTTTTATTCTCAAGAAAAGGGTATAAGTTTGTTTGTGATAATAAAGAATTAGAGACACTGGTGATGCTGTTGATGGAGGATCCCAGAGCTATATATCGTTGCTTATGCTCTCGATGATGATCACAGGATGTGCACAGCCAGTGGTGACGTCGTCTTATAAGACCGTGCAACAAATGGACTCCATGTACCTACATAGATTGACAGAGCACAAACCAACAGCCTCGCGTGTAAGGCGAAAGAAGAATCCTTCAGGAACACACGTGATGGCCATATATGACGATGAGGCGGAATAGATCAAATACATCTTGCCAAGGCGCGGTCGGTGTCCTTGGACGGATAAATGTGCCGCCACATGGTGATCAAGTTGTTGCAAGTACCTGACGACATGACGCTTGTTCCGGTTGGAAGAGAGAGGCGCAGCGCATGTACCTTTTGTTAGCGCGAGGGCATCGATCCGATCCCTGCGGTACGTGGAGGTACCTGTGCTAAAGCATTACGGGCGTGATCGAGTCTAGAGTGACAAAAACCCCATTAATACGTGTACATGTTAACGTCCACTGGTACTTGGTGATGCTGCACCGATTCGAGGATTCTGTATCAGATGAACGAAGCATCAGCTCTCTCTGTTAGCAGCTTCAAAACTCACCTTGCATGATACTTGAATCCATTGGACCAGTCGAGGCCCGAGTTGGGCCAATAATGCTCTTAGTGCAATGAGGGGATTTCCGAGCTGAACCACTCCGCTGCAAGAGATTGTGGCTATGTAAGTGACCTTTCGCCTCATTCAGGCATCAGACGTCGGTCCTGCTTCTTTGAGTCTCTCATGGGACCATGAGCGGTTTATTGTACATTCTCCAACCTTCTCCAACAAAGGGAACGAGTTACACAATATGGGGAAATCGTCCAGAATCGACAGAATCAAGGATAAGACGGAGAGGGTGAAGGAGTTGTTCACGCTTAGAGGCAAAGACGGGGATGAGTCTACAAGCTCCTCGGCTACACAGAAGGCTCAAGAATTGAAAAGCTCGCATTGTAGGATTCATCCGGATGATTCTCTCACAAAATAAACATCAAGATTGAATTAATGCGGGGTATCAGGTCCTTCTGTTCTTCTGCCCTTGTCTAACTCATCACCAAACACAGCCACATTGGGCAACGATAACGAGTATCAGAACATTCCCATTGGTGAACTCTGGAATCTCGCGTACGAGAAATTACAACAAGAGGATAGCGCACTCATTGAAGAATATGAGGCGAGACTCCGCGGAAGCGTCACCGCCGCCCTGGGATCGACGTTAGCCGCGGAGGAGAACAAGGGGAGGTGGATGAACGTCATGCTACGATGTAAGATGGAAGAGGTCCAGAAGAACATTTGGAAGTTTTCGTTTCGTAGCTCAGAGGTTCAGCCGGCTGAGGTTGTCCAGCCCATCTTGGGCGTTGTCAAACTGGCCAATGACTTTCTCACCACGGCTTTAGCTTCCAACCCCTATGCATCATTGGCGTGGGCTGGCGTCAGCGCATTGCTGTCGGTATGTTTTGGGTGTGACCTGTGGATTCTTCTACGTTATGGAGTGGGTTAACTGAATCAGGTGCTTAGCTGTTTTTGAATCCCATGGATCAAGCTGCATCCCTCGCCAAAGGGTTGGAGTACATCTCATTACTCATCGTCCAAGGTCGAATGAGGGAAGATCTCTATCGTCGACGCTATGAAACAAGGCAAAGCGACGACCAACCATCTACTGTACCGCATGTACTTTATAAGAGCTCTCTGGAAAGGCTATATCGACAAGTACTAAAGTTCCAGGCAACATGTTACTGCTACTACGCCAATGATGGGGCCACTCGCTTGGCTCGTGATCTTATCGGACGGTATAATTGGGTTGGTTTGATGGAACAGATACAGCGCCAAGAGAGTCAGATGGGTGCGATCGACCAGGCTTGGAGCGATCAACAGTATAATGAAGAATGCGCTGCAGCCGAGAAGCGACACAAAGAAACGATACACAGTTTGATGACTGCTGGTGCGGATATTTCCAGCCTACGCAGGGCAGTAGAGGAAGCCAATGCGAAACAAGATCACCGGGATTTCTATCGCTGGTTATGTGATGTTGATCCATCGGACATGTACAATGCAGCACGTAACAGACATGAAGCTGGCACGAGTGAATGGTTTATCGAGGGCGAAGCGTTCGAATCATGGATGAACAATCCTCGCTCTCTTTTATGGCTTCATGGTAAAGGTGAGTTCCATGTTCCGTCACTCCCTTTTCAAGTTCCCTCATATACCTAATACGCCTGGCCAGCTGGTTCCGGAAAGTCTGTCCTAAGCTCTTCAGTCATCAAATTCTTGCAAAGCAAACACAAAGACGATGTTACAATCGCTACGGCGTATTATTACTTTAGCTTTAGCGACGTAAAAAAGCAGGAAAGAGATGCCATGCTCGCGTCTCTCATCAAGCAAATTTGTTGCTGCCGCCCCAACATGCCCGACTCAATGACAAGACTTAAAAAACACAAAGACCAAGATATGCGCCCACCTACCGAAGAGCTTCAAGAAGAACTTATTGCGACTCTGCGCGGGTTTTCTAAAGTGTACATCGTCATTGATGCGTTGGATGAATGCCCAGAACTAGGCGGGCGGCGTGAAGATCTCATGAAGACATTGCGCTATATCCTAAATGCTGCACCCGATAATCTTCATGTGATGTGTACAAGCCGAAAAGAGTCGGATATATACGCTGAACTTGAACGCTATTTATCTGAACCAACGAGGATAGAATTCGATCTGTCTTCTTACATTCACCGAGAGGCAATCAAGCGCGACATCAGCCAATATATAGACTCAACGCTCGCCGATGCCAACTATAAATCTTGGTCAGATATCATAAAGAAGAAAGTCAAAGAGACTCTGATTGATAGATCAGATGGAATGTAAGTCTTGAAGGGATTGTATTGTACTGCTTTTTGAGGAATCTCGTGTTGCTAATTGCTTTACAAGGTTTCAATACGTTCGTTGTCAATTCGAAGTACTACGGAGCCTCAGGTCTTCGAGTGAAATAAAAATGGCGCTATTAGACCTTCCCAAAGGACTTGACCAGACATATGAGAGGATACTTGGCATGATAGATCCTAAATACCAAGAGCATATCCTAAGTTGTCTGAAATGGCTCGCCTTCTCATTTATACCTCTCTCTGTGGACCAACTAGCACATATCTTCATCATGCGGCCAAGCGACATGGATACAAACGAGAAAATAATGCAGCGTCTGAATCAATCAGAACAATTGTTCGACTCTCAAGATGTCTTGGCATACTTCTCGGGGCTTGTTCTGGTTGAGTTTGGAACAGTCCGCCTGGCACATTTCTCAGTCAAAGAATATTTAACATCTAGTCGAATTTACCGAGATGATGCACTATCGCTTGGGTTTAGTGCGGCAGACGCTCATCTTTGGATCGCCTACTGGTGTCTTGCGTACCATATATACTTGAGCACTCCGGACAGCAGGATCATCCAGACTCGATATGTTTTGAAGAGCTATTCAACAACCTATTGGCCACTGCATCTCGAAATGGTCCCTTATAAGATCTGGACTGCTCAAGTGGTTGAGAAACTGGCAATATGTCTTGCAATGCAAAGCCAAAGCTTGCTCAACATGATAGTTGGCAGCAAGATGTACAAAGATCAGTGGCGAAGAATGAAAGAGCTTTCCTATTCAGACATGACAGAAATGCTGATGCGGCCATACTGCTTTACAGCCTGGCGTGGCTTTACTCTTATAACTGGACATGTGCTTTCACAGAGATTCGGTGTGAAGCAATACTTTGCACAGGAGGATTTCGATGTAGCGCTGTACTATGCGATTCGTGGAGGCAGTCTACGACTTGTTCAACTTTTGCTAGACAAGGGCGCCAACGCGGATGCATCGGCAATATCAACGATTAAAGACGAGTCTGGAGATGGCAAAGCTGGGGATATGCTTCAGTTGGCCGTGTTCCGTGGTAGCCTTGCAATGGTAAACCTACTCTTAGACAGAGGTGCTGATATCAATGCTCAGCGTGGTGGATGGGGTTCAGCTCTGCAAACTGCGGCGAGAGATGAGCATCTCAGTATGCTAAAGCTTCTGGTAGAGCGCGAGGCGGACATCAACGGCCCTTCTAATGAAGCCGGGTGTGTTCTTTACGCGGCTGCAGGGAATATGGATTGCCTTCGGTTCCTGCTTGACAATGGAGCAGACGTCAACAAGCGTGGTACTGGAAACATGGACAAGACGGCTTTTTGTGAAGCGGCAAGGGCAAAAGACTGGGAAATATTCGATTTGCTGCTTGAACAGGGGGCCAACGTCAACCTAGGTGGCATGGGAGGATATCCCCTCCACGAAATGATCACAAACTACAGGCCAGGCATGGATAGGATATTTCCCCAATTGAAACGCACATTCGGCCTTTCGATCGGCGTGGATGGAGAACTTCGCAGACTGAAACTCCTACTCAGCCTTGGGGCAGATCCAAATGCCTTGGACGGGAAGTGTGATACTGCATTGCATAAAGCATGTGGACATCACAAACTCAGATGTTCTTCTACCTGCGTTCAAATAGCACAGCTTCTAATCGACCATGGTGCTGATGTGAACATTGTGGGGAAATCCCATGGGACAGCACTGCAGAAAGCTGCATACAGGGGCTGCATGAATATGGTCAAGTTGCTTCTCGAAAATGGCGCCGATGTGAACATACAAGGAGGAACATACGGTAACGCACTACAAGGGGTGTGTTACAGCCCTAGAGGTCTTGGGACAAAAGCAGAAATGATACAGCTACTTGTTGACCATGGAGCTGATGTCAATGCCAAAGCCGGCGTCTATGGGACTGCGCTGCAAGCAGCAGCTTGTTGCTCCAGGCAAGGTATTGAAACGATGCAGATTCTTCTCAAACTGGGCGCCAATGTAAAGGCAGAGGGTGGTGAATTCGGAAACGCACTGCAGGCATCTTGTAACCTGGGGGACCTCGACACGGTATCCTTGCTGCTCGACCACGGAGCCGATGTTAACGCAGTCGCCGGCGAAGAATATGAAACTGCACTTCGGGCAGCCTGTTCCTCGATGCGATGGAAAGGAAGCGAAGATATAGTGCGGCTTCTACTTGAACGGGGAGCCGATGTGAATGCCGAGGGTGGAAAGTTCGGAACCGCCCTGCGGACGATATGTGCTAAAAGTCCAAGCAGCAGTCAAATCGAGATGGTGCGCCTGCTACTCGATCATGGTGCGAATATCAACGCCGTCACTGGTGAGGAACATGGAACTGCGCTTCAAATAGCCTGTGCCTCGCCTCCGTGGCAAGGGGGTGAAGAGATTGTGCGTCTTTTGCTTGAACGGGGCGCTGATGTGAACGCAGAGGATGGGAGATTTGGGACGGCACTACAAGTAGCATGTGCTGCACATTGTGAGCACAAAAGCCAAGTCAGTATCATACGTCTGCTGCTTGAACACGGAGCGAGTGCCACGGCTGTGCAGAGCAGCGAATGTGCCAGTCCGCTTCAAGCTGCTGCTGGGTTTTATGCCGGCGCTGATGTCGATGGAAACGCTCAGATGCAGCTCCTGCTAGATCATGGTGCTGATGCCAATGGTTACGCGTCTGGCAAGTTTGGCTCCGCCCTTCATTGTGTTCTCTCTCTTGAAGGAACCCTCCGCAAGCTGGAGAAGGGCGAAACGGTACATCTGTTTGCCGTGTCGGAGATGGTGGAAAGGAGGATCCGGCTTCTTCTCGATCACGGCGCCGACGTAAACCTCAAGGGGGGCAAGTATGGCTTTCCACTCCAAGCGGCCTGTTCGGTGGCGTATGACATTTATGAAAATGGGCAGCCACGTGAACGCTGGTATCGCCGGGAATCTGATACTCCCGGTATACGGCTTCATTTAACGGCAATTGCTACTGATGCGGTAAAGATGCTCCTTGATGAATGTCCCAATATTGATGTTAATGCCCGCGGTGGAATCTTTGGCACTGCTTTGCAAGCAGCAGCATATTCGGGCCAGACGGCATCAGTACAACTGTTACTGGATCATGGAGCTGATGTATCGTCGAACGGGGTTTGCGGTAAATATCGCACTGCTCTCAATGCAGCCGTGGTAAGAGCTCATTGGGACATTGTCAAGATTCTGCTTCAGGCAGGGGCAAAGCCGGAATGCCATTTACTTCTACATCCAGATGAGAGATGGCTTGAACAGATCGGAAAAGAAGACGGCAAGGTTGCAGTGGAGAGATATAGAAAGTTTTGGGAGGTTGAAAAGTTGCAGCATGAGCAGGTACTGCTTGGACGCGGTAGACATGTTGCGTATTACCACTTTATGACGATGTGGTTGCTTGCTCAGTTTCACCTGCTGACGGGGTTTATAACGGTAGTTTTCGATTTTTTGATGTGGAAGAAAAAGGACGCTTTAAGGATGTAGCTAGAATCTCATATCATCAAATCTTGTTGAATACTATACCCTATACGCTACAAGCTGCCATCTTCTTTCTACATGACACTGATGGGGAAATAATGCATCATCATCATCAAGCACATGATGTTATACTCGCCAGATATCGGTTTCCCCTTTCATATACATATAGGTATCCTATAGTTTAAGAATGTCCTTCCCTTGACAAATGTCAATCTAATGAGGCAGGGTTTCCATGAAGAAAAAAACAGCTATGATATAAATCTCCTCGCACCCTCCCCCGAGCCTCAAACAATGAGTAGTTTGATGCCCAACTTACTAACAGCTTAGAAATCCGTAGAATCGGTGTTGTTTAATGTCTCTGCTATAATCTGTCCCTCCTACTCTGCAGATACTGTGGTATTCTTCGTATTCATCGATTAGATGCCCAGGAGTCCATTCCCCCCTCTAGCTAAGGGAGGACTTTTCTTTAATGCAACGTTTGTTTGTTACAGCCCACCAATATGTTTTCCGCCCTGTATAACTTGAGCTATCACTTAACTAGGGTATATCTTGATACATTCGAAGTTGGCTGCGCCTCAATTGTGTCGCACCACGCAACGGTAATGAAGCTACTTACCTTCCGAGTTCATGTTAGCCTTCTGAGAGGCGTATACAATTGTTATTTTTGGAAAGTTCAGGCTCTGTTTTCCCGGTGATTTTCTTCATCGTCGGACCATAATTGGTGACGAATCCCAACAGACCATATTGGCCGACTGGCAGGACCTAGTAACAAGCCCGATAGACGCCCGAATACGAACTTGTGCCCGATCTCCTCATGCTCTGGGCCGTCACATTGCTATTTCAAGAGATCATGCATACCTTGATAGGTCGGCAAGGTTTGGATCATTCGTAATCCAAGCCATATCAAATGCCTTACGAAATTTGACCAGGAAGGAGATCCAATCTTGGCTCAGCGGTAACCGGCGAGTTGCGCGACTATCTTCGGAGCTCGGCACAGCAAATGAAATAAAACCAAAGATTGTGACTCGTGATATCCTTGCTAAGTGGTTGTGGAGAGATGATCCGGGCTAAATGACTGTAACTGGTGGTTGCAGAAAGTGTCAAATAGCCTGAACGACGGATATAGCTCATATAAGACGGATGAAAATGATTGCTTAATAGGGCTTTTTTTTCCTTCTCTTCGTCCTACCTAGACAGTATGACTAGTTGTTCTAGATTGTCATGAACCCCCTCGAAGAAACTAGCTCGCTGTATATTTAGAAGAACACTATTGCCAGAAGCTTTGTGACTGAAAAGGTGACTACCCTGGCCACTCTAAGACAGGCAGATATCTCTTTTAGTCGAACAACGGTATACAATACTGGCTGCGTCGGGGAGATGATTGTGCCGTATTCGTCTAATATCCATACAGCTGGTGGATAGTCAACAGTGAATGTGGGGATTATGTGTAGAGTGCAGTTCGAGCCCATGAAGGATAGGTATACCTCGCTAGTATGATATTTGATGAAGACTTTGGTTGAGCGTTTCTATATGATAGTTTGAAACTTTGAATAGAGGCATCGGCGGGCTTTCTTCAACCCTGTCACTTCAGACATGCGTCTCTTGAAATTTGGTCTCCCATAGCAACTTCTTAGTCAAGAAATAATGAAAAAAAAAAGAGCTATATGATACATGGAAATCGCATCAAAATACTAATCATGACATTGTAGGCCGTTTACCGGATGCCTACCTGGTAGTAATGGCTCCACCCCCAATACAAAGTGCCATGATGGGAGCAGTTTGCCAGTCGTAGTAAGACGTTACCAATTGAGTATCCCAGCATACGACTCGAAAGTACAGATCACCAACTGCCAAGACTTGGATAAATACAATGTCAGGGCATGTCTAGTGAGGCGCGGCGAATCAAAGAAAAGCCGACATGTTGTATGTTGCAACATGCGGCATACTGTGGACCTTGGAGATGCCACGGCCAGCCCAAACAAGGTTGCTGACTATTCCATTCCATAGTACTGGACATGGTTCACCCATATGCGTATAGCTTCCCAGCTCCATCATGTATGCCATTGATGCTCGGAGTTAAACAAGGCTGGTTAGTTGGCTGTGAAAACTCGTGTTTGCAATGTGGGTTGCGTGGCGCAGTACGTGGTCATTGCGTGTACAGCATCGTGCAAAAGAAATGAGCCGATGGACCGAGAACCGCCCGAATGGAGGGCACGGCAATGTGAAACAAGGAGGCTGTAATATATCACAAAAAAAGAACGAGTTTAAAGTATTTAACGTTGTTCGTAATTACGAAGATGCGGCTCGACAGGGCTCGATCGAAACAGCGGCATGGGTGCCGTAGACGCGGCCTCGGAATAGAAACTGAGGCAATACGAGAAAAGGGTTTGGCTGCCAATGACTACCTAGTAGCAGCAATAGTTTGACGGGGGACGCAAAAGTGGCACCGCGGCAGAGAGGGCATGACAGCTGCAAGCACGAGTACGTGTACTCCTAATACTACCTACTATTCCCTGCTAGAGAAGCAGATCGAAAAACTAGCCGTTATTTCGTAATCCAAGTCGTGATTCGTCTTACTCGTGGACTCTCCTGTCTGGAATTGTCACTCTCCATGACGGGGGGAGTCTCTCTAGATCCATTGCTCTCCTATTAACTATTCTTGGCATTGCTTTTTTCGTCTTTAGTTTTCCAACTGCCGCTCTATCTTATGCTCTTGTCGTATCATAATGCGTGGGTCTCTCTTTCGTTTACGCGCTTGTTTTGAACGCTCACCAAAAACCGTCGTCTTATTCGTTGTCATTGCTGTTGCACTCTATTTCAGTATTCGTAACGTCGCTAGCGATGTAATCATAGAGACACTGGACTCACACTATCCGGCCAATGGATCTCTCAGGGACATCCTGAGGACAGCGAGAGACTACCGCAGACATCCCATCAAGCGTCCATACAAAGACAAGTTTTGGGAAGTTGGTCAACGGTCTCGCAGCTTGACCCGATGGCTTGATGGCCTCAATGGCCCGTGGGGGTCTAAACTTGGCGACTTTGAGAAAGAGAGGCTTGTTGTAGCCATCGAGACGACGGCCACCTCCCTATTTCCGTTTCTCAGCCCGGAGCTACGCAACAAAGGTAGTAAAACACCACTTTTGGACTTGCGGCGTTCTTTTACCAAAGGCTCACAGGGGATCGTCATCCCTGCCGGCGGGAGTGATCTACAAATCAGGTTTGCGGGACATTTGATTGCTTCTCTCAGAGATGTCTTTGGCTGCTCGCTGCCCATCCAGATTGCCTATGCCGGGGATTCTGACCTGCCAAAAGAACGTCGCGATGCCCTCTTGTCGTTTGACAAGACAAACAATACGGAATTCCTAGATGTGTGGACAGTATTTGACGATGAAACTCTGCGTCTTCGGAGAAAGGGCTGGGCCATCAAAGCTTTTGCGGCTCTAGCATCTAGGTTCGAACAAGTCATTGTTCTCGACGCCGATGCCGTGTTTCTTCAATCACCAGAAGTGCTTTTTCAACAACGAGCGTACGTCGAAAGCGGAGCGTATCTATTCCACGATCGACTATTATGGCAGCATTCTTTCGGGGACAGACACGAGTGGTGGAAAGACCAAATCAAGGAACCATCACCAGCGATGAACAAATCTCTCGTCTGGACAGAAGACTACGCGGAAGAATGCGACTCAGGGGTCGTCGTCCTCGACAAGTCCCGAACCGAAGTCTTTGTTGGCCTGCTTCACATCGCATGGCAAAACTCATGGGCGGTACGAGACGAAGTTTCCTACAGGATCACCTACGGAGATAAGGAGACGTGGTGGCTTGGGCTGGAGCTTGCTGGATCAAAATACGAATTCGAGGAGCACTATGGCTCAATCGTTGGATGGGAAAGGGAGGGGAAACCCGACGAAAGGGCGGTATGCAGCTTTGTTATTGCGCATACGGATGAAAGGGACAAGCTACTGTGGTATAACGGCAGCCTGTTGAAGAACAAGCTGGTCGATCCGGACGGGTACGAGGTTCCATTGTACTGGATGATGGATGGCGAGTGGGAAAAGGGAGGGAAGAAGGACATGAGCTGCATGGTGGGAGCGACGAGGAGGCGACTGAGTGGGGAGGAGATTTCGATACTGCAGGACAGCATGGAGGCAGCGGTCAAGGTGGATGAAGTGATGGCCAGCATGAAGGCATCGTGAAGGTGCATATTGATAGCGGTCCGTCTTACTGTACATTGGGTGGGAAAAGCGTATTGTTGTTAACGAAATTGGACAGTCATAATATTGAATGTTAGGATATCTAGATGAAGCCTTTACTTGCCTGATATCGGACGACGAAACGACAAATTAATGTCACTATTTCCATCGTGATGATGGTGGAGACGAGCTTCAGCCCGGGACGCGCGCGGTTACTCCAGGGCTGTTTGCCTGCATTACCAATATTCCAGGTCTGTCCAGCGCTGTAATACCCTGGAACAGTGCTGTAGCTGAACTGCCCCTGCTGAGTCACGATTTAGCTCCCGAAAGGATCGTGCCTCCTCCTGCTTCTGTTCATCCAGCGATTCAATCCTTGCCCTCAACATTTGACCGTATCAAACATTTTTGCAACGTCAAAAGGAAAAAGGGGCAGCATCACATCATGCAGCGATTCACCCGCTGGACTCGGTGGATTCGGGACAAGCCCTCCGGAAGACGAGATCCTTCAGCTTCTCCCTGATTTCCTTCTCTTCAGCTTGGCCCGCTAGCCCTAGTTCTTAGGCCATGGATGGGATGATGGTGATCCATCGATGGTGGCTCAGCCGAAAGCAAACCAAGCTTCAGCGCTTCTCCACCCGCGCCATCTACGCAATCTCGAGCCGATCGCTTCCTAACAGGCCTGTTTCTGAGATCTCTAGGCTTGGCGATCTTTTGCTTTTGCGACATGGTTTACAGCGTGATTTTCCTTCGATTTGGATTTTCGATGATTCTTGTGCGACGAGGTGGCATCATTGTGAAACAGGCGATATGCTAATGCAGCTTGATGGGCATCCATGGTTACGTCGTTGCGACTCGTTGATATCCATGGGATCCCAGCCGATAGAAGCACAAGCACAAGCACAAGCAAAACTCAGCAGAGCACAATGCAGCACGGCAAACGTCGAAATCTCACAGTGCGTGGCCTCTGTAGATAGCACTCGGGTCTTGACAGTGATGGACAGGATTCCCGAGCCGCGAACGCTGTGGCCTCCATCGCCAGAATGACGAAAGCGCCAAAGCTGCATTGCTGGATTACCGCATTACTTGCAATTAGCCTACCTGCTGGAGCTGCCAAGCTCAAGACTGAGACACTTTAATCTGCAGCTCGAGCTGGAAGCCAGATCTCCACCAACTTGCCTGATGCGCTGCTCTAGCTCGTGGCCGCCATTCACACAATACGTCATCCAAGACACATGCGCGGATCAAGTTTGCAGCTTCTGATGGCTGGGTATCGACATTTGCCACGGCACGGCCGGCTTGTTGCAAATAAGTTGGCGCCGTGGAAGCGGTTCAAAGACAAATTGACTTTGTCCATCTCGACAACTGTCGCTGCTCCACGGCTCTTGCCAAGGCGCGTTATTACTGTACGAATGCCTGGTGGCTGCCCGTTGATGCTGTCAGAAGCGAATCGAGCACATCGGATAGGTGTATATCATATCTGCGGATTCGCTCGTCGTCATCACTACCTAGATCTTGCCTAGTTTGATCCTGAATTCTCCAATGTCTATGTCTATTCCATAGAGTCGACAACTATCCCCGAGTTCAGTTCTCAATCTCGAATTAATTCATCAACCAGAAGCTGTTTGTTGTCTCTCATCCTCCCAACCCAGAGACGAGCTTCGACAACACCGGCGCCATGAACGTCGACGACCATGTGGTGCCCTCGGGCGGGCAGCACTACAGCGCCACCAACCGCGTGCCCAACATCCAGGAGTTTATGCAGCGTCTCGACGCCGAGAAGAAGCAACGGGATGCCGAGATTGACTCCGAACTCAGACGCAACAAGCGCAATCCCGATGTCAAGGTCCATCGCAACGAGCTTCTCAAGAAAAAGGGCACGCGGAAAGTGCGTGATCCAGTCACCGGAAAGGACGTTGAGATTCGCGATGCGGATATCGATTTCACCGAAGCCGTGGAAAACCCACAGGTATGCCTTCTTCCCACATCTGAGCGCGTCTCGATAGCCTTATGCTCAACTAACCGTCCCAACAGATGTCTGTTCCTAACGGGAACCTGGGAAAGCCTGCCACCATCGCTACCTCATCTCAACAATCTGGTGAAGAGTACCGCTACGCTCAAGATGTAACTGCACCTCCCGATCCCATTCAAGAGGGATCAACTTCCGACGTACCTATTCGCAGTGAGAAGACGTCAGTCCTGTTTTACAAGACTCCGTCGGTCAGCTACGAACCAATGTTTGCCTCTCTTGAGCTGCGATCAAACGCCTTGTGCGCTGGCATCTTTATGGGTATCGTCTTCTTCGGTAGACTGTTTGGCGGTGGGCTCCTTGGTCTGATTCCTCTGGCTCTATGCGTTACCTCTGGCGTCCATTTGTGGGTAAAAGAATTGATCCGCCAAGGACGAGACTTGGAGTGGTCCAGCGAACAGGAGCGTGGCGAAACTGCCACCATCAACCTGATTCCCGAGTCTGTCGAGTGGATGAATACCGCAATCGGCGTCTTTTGGGGTATGATCAACCCTGAAATGTTTGCCGGTGTTGCCGACACGTAAGTTTACCTCGCCGTTTCAATTTTCTGCCACACAACAACTGCTAATCCCTGGGCAGCATCGAAGATGTCATGGCTGCGTCCGTGCCTGGTATTATTGAACATGTGCGAGTGGCCGATATCTCTCAAGGAAACAACCCTCTCCGTATTCTCAACATGCGAGCCCTCCCAGACTCTCATGTTCAGGACATCAAGGATGAAATCCACAAAGAAAATGAAAAAGTCATGGACGAAGATGAGCTTGCGGCCGTGGCGCAAGCGGGGGCGTTTTACAACATGGAAGTTTCGGTCGCATATCACGCAAAGCCCTCGGGCGCTGATATCGCCTCAAAGGCGCGGAATATGGGAATGCAGCTCGTCTTCTACCTGGGAATCAAAGGCCTCTTTGGCGTTCCTCTTCCGATCTGGGTTGAGCTGATTGGCCTCGTTGCCACCGCACGTGTCAGACTGCAGCTCAGCCCCGAGCCCCCCTTCCTAAAGACCATGACTATAACTTTGATGGGAGTTCCCAAGGTGCAAGCTGGCTGCACTCCCATGGTTGAAAGGGCCCCCAATATCTTGAACTTGCCTCTCATCTCCAATTTTGTTAATTGGGCCATTAGCGCCGCAGCCTCCATGTATGTCGCTCCCAAGAGCTTGACCTTGGACATCAGCAAAATGGTGCAGGGAGACGATATCAAAAAGGAAACCGAGGCCTTTGGAGTTCTCTTTGTGAGAATCCACAAAGCTACTGGCCTTAGTAAACAGGATCAGCGTGGTAGCAAAGGCGGTGGCTCCGATCCGTATATCACCATTAGCTGGAGCAAGTTTGGGAAGCCCATGTTCTGTACCCGTGTCATCCAGGATAACTTGAACCCTGTCTTCGAAGAAAGTTGCGGACTGCTGGTTACCAGCGACCTCATTAAGGCTGACGAGCAGCTCTCTGTGGAGCTCTGGGATAGTGATCGATCCTCTGCGGACGACGAGGTGGGCAAGATTGAGCTAAGCATTCAAGAGCTCATCCAGCACCCGGGACAGATGTTCCAGCACGTCTCGACGCTGAGTGGTCTCAAAGCCGAGAGCGTTATGCCCGGCGAACTCCACTGGGAAGTTGGGTTTTTCGGAAAGACGCAATTCCGCAAAGCCTTGCGAACTGATGGCCACAACCCTAATGTGGCTAAAGAACTAGGCGACAAGCCCGAGTTTCAAGAAGACTGGGGTACGATTCAAAATGCAGAAGAGGACGCTGTGGTCCATACTCCCCCTGACCCTCTTTGGCCGTCTGGAGTCCTCAGCATTGTGGTCCACCAGATTGTCGGCCTAGAGCTAGCCAATGTCAAGGGCTCTCAGGGGAACCGCAGGGGCAAAGAGTACGAGCCTGCAAGGCCGGAAGCTGGCGAGGTCAAGGAAGAGACAAGCAAGAGACTGCCGAGCTCCTACTGCACCATCCTCGTCAATGATGATTTGGTTTACAAGACGCGAACCAAGGTGGTGTCGTCGCAGCCCATCTTCAATGCTGGCACCGAGAAATTTGTTCGCGATTGGCGCTCTTGCATTGTTACCATTGCAGTTCGAGACTCCCGCAACAGAGAGCACGATCCAATCATCGGAGTTGTTCCTCTCAAGCTGTCAGACATCATGCAGACTAGTAGCGAGGTGACGCGGTGGTACCCTCTCGATGGTGGCATCGGCTTCGGCCGTCTGCGTGTCTCTCTCCTGTTCCGCTCCGTGGAGCTCAGACTACCACCTCCGCAGCTGGGTTGGGAAATCGGAACCTTTGAGTTCCTCTCCGACACAATCAAGGTCTCAAACTATACGCCGGCGAGCAAGGTTCGGATCCGACTGCGCACTGGCGGCTCTTCTGCCAACGTAAAGAGAGACCAATCTGTTCGTGAAACCGATGGTATGACATTCAACATTGGCGTCCCTGAAGGTGAAAAGAAACTTCGACTGCCAGTGCGCTATAGATACAAGTCTCCAATTTTCATGGAATTCTATCCCGCTGGTAAGAGGGGAGCTGATGCGTTTGCCGCATTGTGGCTTTTGGAGCTGGTTGATAATCAGGAGAAGGAATTTGACATTCCTCTGTTCAAATGCGACAATTCTCAACGGCTATCACAGAACTACATTACGCAGGAGAATTTTACTACCATCCCTGATACGAATATTCAAGAAATTGGAAGGGTTCGGTTTAGAGGCCGATTCAAAGCTGGTACCGACCTGGATCATATCAGATTTGTCACTGACAACGATTCTCGCGAGACAATCGAGACATGGGAGGCCTGTTACGCCGAGGGGGTGCGAGATCTAGAGGTTCAGCCCGAAATACCCCCATTGACTCAGAAATTGCATGACGAGTCTCTGACGCAGGGCCGAGATGTGCTCGCACAGGCTGACGAGAAAGAAAAAGACCGCTGGTTGGCAAAGGATGGCACCGACTGGACCGGAGCTTTTGGCAAGGATCCGCAAAACTCGATGGCTCCCGCCATGTCCAGCGCGGATACCAATGGTCATGAGCATTTTGAAGTAGACACGGATGAGGACGAGGACGCCGACGAGGACGGCGAAGATAGAGACCGAGTTATGGACATGCGCAGGACAGAAACAGACCCAACCTATGGCTCGGCCCCTTCTGAGGGCAGTGACGAGCGGCATTCTTTGGATAGCCGTGCGTCAGGCGCGTCGAGGAAGAGCACCGGTAGTACTGGGAGTAAGAATCCCATCAGGGCGTACAAAAACTACAAGGAGAAGAGCCGGGATTTGAACCGCAAGCAACGCGGGCTGATGCAATGGCTCCCCATGCGAAATGCGCGCTTTGCCAAGAACGAGGCCAAGTTTGCCGTCCGCAGAGTGAAGAGAATGGGATCTTTGGCTGGGCGAAAACCAGATGTCGAAACCGAGGTGTAATACCCCTACGCGTTGCTGTACCTGTTATTATTCTAATGTCTCTTATTTTCCTTTTTTATTAACTTTTGTTTCAACGGAATTATTACGGCCTTGTATGGGCGGAACTGGGTGTCAAAAACCATGATTCATGATAAGCTTACGACATTGGTGTTGGAGGTGTCGGATAACGCTCTTTTGATCAATTGCTAATGATTCTTCTTGACACACTCGATTTGTGAAAATCCCCATTAAAAGACTTTGAACTTGTATTTATTACATTGTATGATATCACAAACGCTATCGTTGATTAAAATTTCTCCACGAATGGGCGGATATCCAGTTCCTGCGTGAAAGCTGATCTGTGCTGTGTGTGTAAGTGCCAGTAGCTCTCGGCAATCTGTACATTCATTGTCAGTCATTTGTAGAAGAGAAACAGTTGGACGGTTTGTCACAATACGTACGGCATCAGGGCTGATCTTGCCATCATCTACACCATTGTTCACAACGTAACCCTGGGTCCGGGGAATGTCAATGACACCGTCAATGACAGCCAGGGCGACATGCACGCCCTTGGGGCCAAACTCGCGGGCCAGAGACTGGGTGAGGGCACGCTGGGCGAACTTTCCAGCGGCAAACGTGCTGAAGAAGGCGGAGCCGCGGAGGGAAGCGGTTGCGCCGGTGACGAGGAGAGACGGGGGGTGAGGGGAGGAATCAACAGCTGCGAGAAGAAGAGGGATGGATTTTTGGGCGAAGTAGAAGAGGCCGTTGCTGTAACATATTTGTTTCTGTCAGCGAATGTTTTTTTCAAGAGCATTATAGGCATCGAAGCAAAGTAAGCTCACGGGAGAGAACTTACGCAGCAGAGTCGAGGCTTAGGTCCAGATCGGCGAGGGTCTGCTCCAGAAACGACTTCCGGCCTGTGCCGCTGCCGCCGTTGTACACGGCGGCCGCGAGCTTGGAGCCGGGCAGCTCCTTTTCGATCTGGGCAAAGGCGGCGTCGACGGCGGCCGGGTCGGTGGCGTCGGCGGAGATGCCGATTGCGGTGCCGCCGGCGGCCTTGATGGCGGCGACGATGGGCTCGTAGCTCGAGGGCTTGCGGGCGAGGAGGACGACGGGGTAGGACTGGGCGAAGCGGCGGGCGACGGAGGCGCCTGTGCCGGCGCCGACGCCGGAGACGATGGCGAAGAAGGGGGGGGCCATGATGCCGGGTGTGTTTTGTTTTAGGACGGGGAGATGAGGAAGAGGAGAATGGGAGTGAGTGAGGTTGTTTGATGAGAAGAAAGTTGAAGTGGTATAAGTGAAAGGATCGAGTGAGATGAAGGAGCGTTTATATAGACATGACGATGCTAGATCGACGAATTGCGCAAGACTGCTGCTCGAATCGTATCAACAACCGACATGGACCGCGAAACAACAAGAAACGCTGATAAATCCTTCCCCACGTCCACATACAGCGGGACATTCATGATTGTGCCATTTCGGCTTATAAAGCAAGCATGGCTAGATGCAGAATGTGGGGCTGGATGTAGGAAAGATGGTGATGAACCGGGGCGGGTTTTGGTGCGGGGTGGGCGTTTTTGTGGCTCATCTGGAATCTTTTTTCTTCTTCCTCGTTTATCTCGCTCTGCATATTTGGGGGTTTTGAGTTTTGGGTTTGTTTCGTTTTTTGCTGTGAGGTGGTGTGATCGCTAATGGGCTTGGTTGAGGTCTCGCCATGTGATCCTGCAGCTCTCATCATCGTCTGGTTATAGGGTTTCAGTAGGACCGGCTTGAGCCCCAATGGCGTCATCAGATCTTGCAATGAAAACACTCCGGTGGTGTAACTGTACAGACGCAATGAAATCAAGGCTTCATAACCACTTAGTCACCCTCCTCCTCCCCACAGCTGATTGTCGGGTGGATTCCGCTTCATCCGGGCCGGAGCCGAGGCTTGATGCGGCCCCACACGGCGCCGGAGCCTTTTTGCGCTTCAGCAGAACTTTGCGATGCAGTGTCATTATGTGCATGAGATGAGGTATCTAGTCATGCATATAATATGGAGAGGCTCGTGTGGAGTACAGTTGGACTCGAAAATACAAGGTTCGTCGTAATTACTCGCGGTACCTCTTTAGTTACTGGTGAGTAGTCTCATGCCTATGGCCTTATGGCAGGCCATCGACTTCATCGGTCACGACCTCCATTCTGCGATTATGGATGTGAAGGTTATCGATCATTAATTCATTCTAAATCACACAACTGCACCGGTAGGCTTGAAAAGTACATGTACTCTTGTCCGCATATCTCCTTGTCGCGCCTTGCCTGTGCTTCAGTCTCCCTAGCTACATTTCACCTCTGGGACGCTTTCCACTTTGAATCGGCACACTCAATTTCATCATACCGCAATTCGGGATTCATCATCCTCAGAAGCTTTGGGCGCGAAATTCACGAGCCAAAGCAGCGTGCGCTTTGAAGAGTTCCACATATGCCTCCGCATACCCCGTCTCCGCTGCGGACTGAAGATACGCAATTGAGGCGTGTGCGCGCATTCCTAGACAGGTTTTAGTTGGCTTCAGCTGAGAAGAGACTAGAAGACGGGTGAAAAATGGACTTGCCTTGGGCTGAGAGCGTCAAGCCTTCTATCCTAGCAGATTCGACTTCTTCCTGAACAACGTCGCAGACGTTCCAGAAAATGACTGCTCCAATCAAGAAATTTTCAACTGGGCTGCGGTCTCCACCTTTGTCAGACAACAACCGAAATTGGTCTGTGGAAAGATGCTCTTCTGACTGTTGAAACTCTTGTTTCTGCTCGTTGAGCTTCCTTGCATGAAGCACTACGGCAAGAGCCGCATTCACAGCCTCTTCAATCTTTCGGTCATCTGAATTGTTGGCGTCATCGTCATCAGCCTTCTTCACTTCGGCTTCACCCGTGTTATTGGGCTGATGGGGTTCATCTTTCTCGCCTGTGGCTTCGCCCTTTGGTTTCGAAGCCTGTTCAACTTCCGCGGCAGCTCCCAGAGCGTTCGGTGTGGACATGGCTAGCTGAGCTTTCAGGTCAAGCAGCATGTCAGCAGCAGAAGCCGCAGTTGGCCTGAGCAATGGATTTCTGCTCCAGCATTGCACTATCAAGTCCCGAGCGCTTCCAAAGCTAGAGAGGCCGCTTGCGTTGACATCTCCCGGGAGGTGAGTCCTGTCCAAGGCCTCGCGCAATTTGGCGTAATCCTCATCTTCTGCCCCGACCTCGATCGAAATGTTGTATGGAACCAGGCCTGTAAGGCACTGCCAAATGATGACGCCGAGACTGTATTTGGTTAGAGAGGAGGCATGTCAATAGCATTTGGTGCTCACCTCCAAATGTCCGTGTATTTGGAATGTTCTCCAAGTCTCGCGTACTCCGGAGCTTCGTACCGGACATCGTACTTCAAACAAGGAGTCGGTTCCAGAATCTGATTGCTGTCAACAAAGATTCACAATGTATCTTTAGGGGCTACCGGTAGCTGCGAGTACTTACGTGTCTTGCACTTTGCAACTTGGTGAGGAACGGAACCAATCTCCCAGATGAGAGTTCCTGGAGAACGATTGTATGATCGGAAAAAGATTTCAGCAGCAGCTGAGCATTGTGGTACCAAGCCATCGTCTTTGCGATATCATATGCCAATGATACGCGAGCTAATGCGGTATCCGGTAACCCATTATCTCTGCATGCTGACGCGAGTGTCATGCCATCTCCTAGATCCTGCATCACAGCATAGTAATCCTCGCCGAGTTTGACAGTTCCAAACAGCCGTTGCGCGTATGCTCCTACTTGAATGTTCTTATATATCTTCAAGAACTCTGGCATCGACCTGGTCAACTGAATCTTGTAACACGCGACTTGGCCGACTTTGTTGATAGCGCCACGTTTGAAGAGGCCGTCTTGGGACTCGAATGAAAATGTAAAGTCCTTTTCTTGAAATTCCGTGTGCAGTTCAACGACCGGAGCGGAAGAGAGCCAATCTGTTTTCCCGTCTTCGACAAGCTTTGCGGATGTTTGCAGGTAAAGTACAATCTCTTTCAGTGATCCCTGAGTCTTCAACACGCTCTCCAATCGTAAACTGACCAGGTCCTCCCGTGATAAGATTTGAGTCTGCTCATTGTCAGTGTACGTCTTCGATGGAACAGGCAAATGTCATACCACTGATTCGACTAGAAAAATCGATTTGATAGACAAAATTTGGCCTATGAGCGACAGGTACTCTTGTGTCCAATATAACCTAAGGGCTTTGTCATAGGATCTGCACTGGTTGATCGCAGACACGAAGGCGTCAATTCTATTCAGACATGCCGTGAACTGGCCCAATCTCCCGAAAGAGGTGATTGCGCCTCTATGCTTGTCCAGAAGATGAACCAAGATGTTGGCTCGGATACCCAGGACCTCGCATTCCTTTTTTAGTGCTCGAACTTCATTGATCTTTTTGATCAGTGGGAATAGTAGAGCCGTGCTCTCCGTCACACAATCTTGGACGGCCAATGCAAGTTCGGACCCCATCCTTGGGCAATGGGCAGCTCCCCGTCTCAGGCGGTTTTCTTGGCGGTTCAGTTGTAATATCTGCGAATGTAGCGCGGAATTTCGCTGTAGGACATCCACTTGAAAGCCCGAGGTGAGGTATCAAAACGCTCTGGAGCCTTACCGGTGATATGGAAGTGTGTTCAACAGGTACAGAGGACAAAACACGGTGAAACTACCCCGCAGATCAGAGACAAGGTAAAAACGAGGCTGAGAATTCTCGACGATTGATAGGCCAAGGGCGTCCGAAGTCGCGTTTCTTGGTACTGCTGCATAATGTGGCATAATCACGCGTTTCTCTGAGGCTGGGCGCTCGTGTAACGCGTATAATGCACACGACTTTTCAGCCCCCTTGCTTCGATGCCGGCGCACCTCTTCATATTCTCTCTTTTGATTTGCCCATGAACGTGCACGCCTCTACCGATATACCCATTCACTGTCATCCTTTAAGAGCAGCAGTATGTCCATAGACATAAAATTTAGCTTGCATGACTAAAAAGAAACTTCTTCGGGACCTTTTTGGAATCCTTTCCGTCTCAAGACTTTATCAATGGTTTTCAAGATCCGTCGCTGGAATAGCAAGTCACGCTACTGCATTCATGGTCTTGGACGCGAAAACTGGCAGAAGACGCGTCCACGGTATGCTTTTCTGAAGAATGAACCGCAATTCATGGCAGCCCCGCAGACATTGCCTGGCTTGTAATACAGAGATTCTGGGAACGCGATGTGAGATGTTTCTACAGTAACCACCCTAGATTTGGTTTGCTACTATGTGGTACCCCTAAGCTGGAGTCTCGTCTCAAGGATACGGAGGATGGGCCAAACTTCCCACGCACCGACTATATCTTTCGCCCGAGGACAGGTGGTACTGGAAGATGGTAGCGATAATTCGACTCGTGGTTGATGGTGATGATCGAGCAGGCCGGAAGACCGACTCAACTGCGTCAGTCCGATGCCTTCCATGAAAATATCCATGAATGTGCCAAACAAGAAATGGATGATACCAGTCCCCAGTGGCGTAACGATACAATAGTCAGCAGCGAATCTTCGTAGTTTGAACAGCCGCCAGCTGTCGAAATACCTTACCCTTTTGAAGCAAAACTGGTTCAACCCTATGTAGAAAACATATGTGAATAGCTGTCTCTTTTGTCAGTTGCCGGTACTGCTCAACGATTTCCAACTACAACTTGAAGCGTGAAAACCCTGTTATTGCTGCGAAATCTGGCTGGCGTATACTGCTTCTAGTTGACAGATCGATCTTGGTCGGCTTGCAGCAGCTTCTCAAGGCTATATGCCCATCCTCCACCGAGGAGTACAACAATATCTAATCTCTATTGTCATTAAACTGCAGTGATTTCGCTGGCCAGTAGCTTTACAACCATCTCATGCCCGTTTCTGGTCGCTAAAGATAGCGGCGTCCGATCCCTTTTATCCTTAGACTCAGCCTTCGCACCTTTTTCAAGCAGCAGCCCAACTACCATTTCATGTCCGTTCTCTGCTGCTAAGGACAGCGGCGTCTGACCCCCGTTATCTTTATCATCTATCTCGGCACCCTGCTCGAGCAGCAGTTTTACTACTGCCTCATGCCCATTCTTTGCCGCCCATGATAGCGGTGTCCGGCCGCTTCCTTGGACGTATATTTTCGGGATGCAACGAGTTGAGTTGTGGCTTTCTAGAGAGTGAAAATTTCCCGGAGAACGATAGTTCTCTAGAGAGTCATAGCTCCGTAAAGAATGATAGTTTCCTGTAGAATGATAGCTCCTTGAGGAATGATAGTTTCCTGTAGAATAATAGCTCCACGAAGAATGATTGTTCCATGGAGAGTCATGGTTCCATGAAGAGCGATTCGTTGCTCTGGCTCTTCCCAAGTCAAGCAGCCCACCGCCCTCTTCCTTGGAGTTTATGTTGACCTCTATTCTCAGAAGGAGCAGCTTCACCACTGCCTCGTGTCCGTTTTGCGCAGCCCGCATCAGCGGCGTCCACCCACAATTGTCCTTGGAGTCTGGGTTGATGCTGTTCACCCCCAGCAGCAACTTGACGACTGGCTCATGCCCACCTGATGCGGCTTTTGACAATGCCGTATGTCCATCTATATCACAGCAGTTTGCCTCGATGCCCTTCTGCGCTAACAGTAGCTTCACAACTCCCTCGTAGCCCTTGTTGGCAGCAATCCACAACGGTGTCCAACTGTATTCGTTTCTCGAGTTTACGTCGACATCCTTCGCAAGCAGCAGCTTCACCACGGCCTCGTGGCCATTCTCTGCTGCCAAAGACAACGGCGTCCGACCCTCTTTGTCCTTAAACCGTACCTTGGCTCCTTTCTCAAGAAGCAGTTGTACTACTGCTTCGTGCCCGTTTATTATAGCCCATAATAGCGGCGTGTTACCCCTGCCATCCTCAGATTCTAGCTCAGCACCATTCTCGAGCAGCAGCTCTACCACTTTCGAGTGACCGTTCTTTGCCGCCAAAGATAACGGCGTCTGACTGTCGGTGTTCTTGGCATCAGTTTCTACTGCATTTAGCAAGAGTGCCCTAGCCGCGTCCTCAATCCCAAAGTATGCCACTAGGTGAAGAGCTGTCATACGCCTGGGCACTGGTTGACTGTAATATGAGTTTCGTGGAGGCATCATCAGTGCTTGACTCGCCGCCTCTACTTTTGGTTGCTGCTCTAGGAATCTCATGACTTCCTGGCATAATGTCAAGGCCTTGCGAGCATGGTGTCCCCAGTTGCGTGCTGCGTAGTCATAGAAATGATTCGATCGCAATCTATCATTGAAGCTGTCGTCCGTTGGACAAGATCCACTTTCGAAGACGTGGAATGACAGATATGTAACGCAGATTGTGGTAATGCTGACATTTACATTCGGGAACCAATGCCTTTGAGTCCGCTCAAAGTATTCCTGTGTTGTATAATGGACCAGGCGGATAACATTACTCTCCTCATCAACAGTAACCAATCCCGCGCACACAGTGACCAAATCTTCGATTTCTGGGAGATTGTCTTCGTCCAAGTTAGATTTGCCAACTTCTACAGCAAGTGCATGCTGAAGTTCTAATGTTGTCAGCCGTCTCTTTGCACAGGTGATCCAAGATAGAACTTGTATTGCAAGCTCTCTCGAGCCTGTCTGCCCCTTGATTCGATCCATCGCTGCGTCGTACGTTTCATTATATACTTCGGATCCAGTGGGGAGGGTTTCTAAAGCCCTTCGGATAGCCTTTGGCGTCCATTTACTTTTCAGTGAATCAAGATGAAGCTTTGCGAGCAGGAACCTACAAACAGTTAGCCTTTTCGCGACAGACGAGGGGAGCAACATACATTCCGTCAATCGCTTTGACGATTTTGATCTTAATTTCCTCTTGTAGATCTAGCCTCTTTAAGACACATCCCGGGAGTTCTGACATTTGACTATCAAGATATGTTTGTACATCTTCATCACTTGCAAGGATCTCGAGAGAAGGATATTCCTTGAATGCCTTTTCAATGTCTGGGATTCGTCGCGAAGTCGCAAAGAAATTTGTTTTCGTCTTCGCCTGAAGATGAAAGATTTCCAGAAGGAGTGTCGATCGGCATTTACTTGATGTGTGGCATTCATCAAGGGCGTCGACGACAATAAAGACTCTTGAAAATAAGTCTGCGAGAGTCTGTAGAGCCCTGGAAATTTCGTCTATTGGCGGCCGTGTTTTCTTAGCTTGGTGTTTGTTATAAAGGTCCTTTACGCAGCCTGGCAGAGAAGACTGGCCTTGGGCTAGTTGTTTAAGCAGACTTGCAAGTAAGTCGTAGGCCGTTTGTTCGCCTTTCTGCTGGAAGTTACAGTAGATGTACGCAACCCCGATTGTGGTATCATTAGGGTATCTCTTGCAAAGGTCGTCCACCACAATTGATGTAAGGATGGTCTTTCCTGCTCCTGGAATCCCGGGGCAGAATAACGTCTGCTTGTCGGCCCCCAACCAGGTGGAGTACTCTGTAGAATCCAGAAGCCATTGACCGGTTCCCGGTTGCCGCCTCTGCAGATTGTCACTCTGTTGAGGGCCATAATCAATATTCGTAAGCCAGTTAAGGATTTCGGCATCTTCCTTTCTGTCCAATTTACCCTCGACTTTTTCAACATAGTTGTGAACTACAAATTTGTTAACAATATGCTACTAACTCGGCAGAGGGGCACTTGGTAACGACTAACCTCGAGAAAGAAGCTCCGTAACCTTCTCCTCAGCTTCAACCTTATTGGGAGGGATCCGGTATAAGAGGTCTCTAGCATATGCAGCCGCTGCCATTGCTGCATAACCTTGCCACTCCTTGCTCTTGTGTGTGTCTGAGTAGTCGCAGATGCCCCGGATAACTAGGCATGGGAAATGGTTCATCAGCCCTGCTGCTTCCATTTCAAAACACAAAACGTCCATTTCCGCCGCAATTTTATCTCGAACTAGTGCGTCTTTCATCAACTGGTTTGCGGAAGCTATTAGACCGTAGTGAATTGCTAGATTGTCCTCCTCGCTTCCCCGGTCAGATCGTAACACTAAGTTCGATGTATCGCAACGGCAGTCTTTGGTACAGCTAGAATCGTGAGTGGCTTCAGGCTTGAAAAGTCTATCTGTACTTATAGCTGGGCGTTTGTACTTCTTGCTCAATCTCGGTTTCTTCTCCAGTACGTAATTAATGGCCTCTTCAAGCCGATGGCCATCGATCTCATACTGTGCCTGAAGTCCATTTATAGCCGTTAATAGCACTATTGGTGGCTGGCTTAAGAACCCTGTTGTGCAAAACCTCTGGTTCTGTATTGTCTTGCCAAAATCGTATTGGAAAACGCCGCCCTTCCCATCTCGAGGCACACTGACCACGATGTCGCCAAGACGGATATCGTGCTTTTGGCTTGGTGCACCGCCGCCGATACCAACCATCAGGCCGATCCTGACATTAGGGAAGCTATGTAGCATATCTCTAGCTACAATTGCAGCAGAAGCGATACCATATTCTCCACCAGGCAAAACGGCCGTGACAACATTGTGTTTTCCAATCTTACCTAGGGTGTAATCGTTATTATCGTTAGGAGACACGTACTCAGGCCCTTCGTGCTTTTCGTCAAGAAAAGCCTGCGCTGCAACATACTCCGTGCTTATGGCACAGATCCAGCCAACTGTGTAGTCGTTAGGGTTCGACATAGTTGCCAGCTAAGTCATTAGAGTGGTGGAAGGCGTGAGGCTCTCGATTCGGCTCGCGCATTGATCAAGACTTTTACCAAGCATCCGGTGAGCAAGACTTATCAAGGTATATCAAGTGCTGCGTGCCTCTCGTATACGGATAAAGAGTGGAATGATGTAAAAGAAAGATGCTGAACGTGATGTCTGAGAGAGAAAGGAATATAAGGCAGATTTTACTACATACAGCTTTCAGCACGTTAGGCTGAAATGTGAAGGATTTTGGGCACATTGCAGCCTAGTTGCGGCCACATTGGCGACATGAGCTGTCATATTCGCTCAGCTATCAATTGCAGCTCGAAAAGGTCTTTAAACAAAAAGCAAATGAGACAAATTCAGCGGGAAATTTACGAGGCCCGTCCTTAGATTTAATGTTACTAAGTAAGCTGATGCGAGGCTCAATCTCATTTATACACACAACGGCAGTAGTATAAGAAAGCAAAATATCGCTTGGAATCTTTAATGTTTTTGTCTAATAAAACTGTATATTCAAAGTTTGGCTTTTTTGCGATATTCAATAACTTCAATCTTTTCCTAGTGTTTCTAGTTGCTACTTGTAACCAGTTGAGTATGGCAAAGATGCGCATTAACTAAGTAGCTAACCCAGAGATGAGTGGTTGCCAACATTAATGTCATCGTGCGAATCCCACCACATAGACCTTCAGGGAAGATAAGCAGACGCAATTCACCTATTCAGTGGTTAAGCTAACATCAAGGAGGAAACGCTTTGCCCTACTTGGCAATTCTTCTTGGGAACGTAGCAGGCAAACGGTCGGGATACACATCGGAGGCTCTATATTGTCTTGCACACGCATTCTAGAGTCAACGAACGGTGACTACACATGGGGAAGTTTGCTTCACGTTTCAGTAAACTATAGAGAGGATCTTGAGGGAATAGTTTGAGGAAGTGTCTTATGAGGAATTGCTGGCGCGGGTGATGGTTACTATGAACAAGTACCACGAAGCAGTAGATATACACTTAAATGTAGCTAAACGCTATCGCGAGACTTTTCTTGAAAATTCCTACAGGACAATCGCAAAAGTGTAGAAACTCGCGAATAATTTTCACCACTTGTGTCGGTATAGGGAATCATAATCCCCTCAACTCAAAATCGTCGAGCTCCTTCGAAATGCAATCAGAAAGAAGCATCCTTACCCAATATAGCAAAATGCCTATAATGGTCCACGTTGATGAGGCACATGATGGAAACGGGAAAATACCTAGAGGTTACCTCATCTTTATCACATCTGGCATCTCGCTCTTCAGAAAGGTGGATCTCATTAGATCTTCGTGCGATGGGCCAATCAGTGGGCAGTCGACGACAAGCAATGAACAAAGGCTGTTATATTTGTTTTTCATTCCGTCGTTATTGATCAGCTTTCTATCTTATCAGCGTTTCGAGACTACATGGCGATGTGATTTATGGTAAGTGAGGCTATACGTGTCATTTTCGATCCTTCCGGGGTCCTTCATAGTGACTCGAGTCAGCATTACTGTATATATTCGGATAGGTGCACTTTCTCAATATAGTCTAGATATCAGTGTATGATCGGAGAATCCGGCTGCATAGATTGGTCTGGCTAAGTGCATGCAGGTTGGATCGATCGGGCCGGTCAGCCCCAGCGATGAATGGCCGGCTTGACTAGCGGTCTCTCATCGACAAAGGAGCATCCGGTGGACGAAATATCTACATGTATTCATTCGATTGTGTTATGGTAGTTACAGTTCACTGCGTTTGGTTGATCAATAGTTTCGATGGGATCTGTTGCGCTTGAATCCATTGTTTCGGGTCGCAGTGTGATCGCTACTACCATCATGATATGCGGCGGACTTTATGAGAGACGGTGTTTGGTGTAAGAGGCGTTGGCTAATATCGTTTCAATGTAAGAAACTCCTTACTTGGCAACTGCATATAGAATCTAGCCAATCAGCCTAAATCATCTTATATAATAAGCCCAGCAAAAGTGTATGAGCCCCTTGTCGTTTCTTTTTTCCTTTTGCCTTTCCTTTTACCCGCCACTCGACTATCGCCATTATGAGTTTTGCCGAGATTGCTAAAGGTAACATAGGTTACAATACATGTAAGCAAGAGCTTTGAGTCAATATAAATGGCTCTTGGCAATAGATGGAAGAACTGCAGGCCCCTCTTTTATTTCTTTATCTTCATAGTGCCAGCTTGCAGAACTATACAACGGTAGCATTCTGATCCCATTTTGATCCAAGTCTTCTCTATAGCCTTTTTTATCAAACTAGCTGTTACAGTTTAATGGCCCAAGCATATCATTTGTATATAACCTCTATACAACGGTAGCATTAGGACTGCAGAAACCGGCAAAACTGCTTAGATACCTTCTAGCCAACCTATAGGGTCTTGGGGGTTATTACCACTTCTCATAGCCTAACAGCATGAAGACACTAGGAATTAGCAGCCTTTTGGATTAGAACAGATGCAACGTGGTTTATCGTCCAGAATCGCTGGTGCTGTGTAGAGAACATCTTAAAAGGGGCCGTAGTTTCGCAACATTGTTGTGGAATCATTCCTATCAGGTCTTGCTAAAATCTGCCTCCTTGGCCCATATAGTTTCAAAATGGCGCTCTCTGGTCCCTTCCAGCTAGCCACGGCTGTCCTTGTTGCATGTCTTGCCCAGATTGTTGCTGGTCAGCAACCTGGAACCAGCACTCCCGAGGTCCATCCCAAGTTAACGACCTACAAGTGCACAAAGTCTGGAGGATGTGTGGCTCAGGACACCTCCATCGTCCTTGACTGGAACTACCGCTGGATGCACGACAAGAACTTCAACTCGTGCACTGTCAACGGCGGAGTAAACAGCACTCTTTGCCCTGATGAAGCGACTTGTGGTGCCAATTGCTTCATCGAGGGCGTCGACTACGCTGCCTCTGGGGTCAAGGTCTCGGGTGATTCTCTCACCATGAACCAGTACATGCCCAGCAGTACTGGCGGGTATAGCAGCGTATCTCCTCGACTCTATCTCCTGGGATCCGATGGAAACTATGAGCTGCTTCAGTTGAACGGTCAGGAGTTGAGCTTCGATGTCGACCTCTCAACTCTGCCCTGTGGAGAGAATGGCGCCCTTTACCTCTCCGAAATGGCTGCGAATGGCGGTGCCAACCAGTACAACACAGCTGGCGCCAACTATGGAAGCGGTTATTGCGATGCCCAGTGCCCCGTCCAGACCTGGAAGAATGGAACCCTCAACACTAACCATTCAGGCTACTGCTGCAACGAGATGGATATCCTTGAGGCCAACTCGAGGGCTAATGCATTCACTCCTCACTCCTGCACGACTAATGCTTGCGATGCTAGTGGTTGCGGTTTCAACCCCTACGCAAATGGATTCCAACGGTGAGTTCAGACTTTCCTAATTCTTTTGGCGGCACTGGGGCTGGAAAACCAGAGTATAGCTGACATCAATGATTTGCGTAGCTACTGGGGCCCTGGGTTCACACTTGATACCTCAAAGGCCTTCACCATCATTACACAGTTCAACACGGACAATGGTTTGCCATCCGGCAACCTTGTGAGCATTACACGCAAGTATAGACAGAATGGCGTTGACGTCCCGAGTGCTCAATCTGGTGGCGACACTATTTCATCTTGTTCGTCTGCTTCAGCCTACGGCGGTCTCACAACCATGGGCAAGGCTCTGGCAAACGGCATGGTATTGGTATTCAGCATCTGGAACGACAACGGCGGAAACATGAACTGGCTGGATAGCGGCAATGCCGGTCCCTGCAGCAGCACAGAGGGTAACCCGTCCACCATTGTTGCCAACAACCCGGGCACTCATGTCGTCTTCTCCAACATCCGATGGGGCGATATTGGCTCAACTACTGGCTCATCCGGCGGCACACCTCCTCCTAGCACATCCAGAACCTCCACCACGCCTCCTCCCAGCACGACCCTGAGGACTTCTACTTCAAGCAGGACAACTACCTCGACTGCTGCAGGCTGCACTCAAACCCACTGGGGCCAGTGTGGCGGTAACGGATATACCGGCTGCAAGATTTGCACCGCGGGCACAACTTGCCAGTACAGCAACGATTGTTAGTACTTCCATTACCATTATACCGTAAAGCATGTTTCAAATTCTAACTTCAAGAATATAGACTACTCGCAATGCCTATAGAGCCGACTTGGTCGTATAGAAGGCTACCTTCAGTTGCCAGTATACAGTGGACATCTGTGTTAGTGTGGTTATGTAAATAATCTTGAGAGGATTTGTTCTCGAACATAAATGAGACACCTGAATGTCAAATAACAAATAAGAAAAAGACTTTGAACTACCTATAAGAAAGAAGAGCTCTGCAGTATCCCGAACGTCCGCTTCATAAATTCAAATATCCTGGTATAGCAAAACCAATTATATTGGATAAATGACGAGCTAGAGAGACGGATATATGTTATCATAGAATGGAAATTTTCTGATACAGAATACAATGACTAATTAGATATCTGGAATTTAACAGCAGGGTTTTCCGACCTCGTGCTAGTGTTATTGAGCATTTGACTTCTGCGACTTTCCAGAAGGCTGTTGCTACTGCTCATGCTCTCTTTGATGACTGAATATTAGATGAGATAATTATTGCGTGTGTAGATTGTATATTGTCTGTTAACCTCTCCAAGTACATGAGAAATCCCGTAACTGTTCTGCTCTAATTTATAACTCCTAATTGCCACCTTTGACTGAAACAGCCCTTGCCGGAAGCATCATGTCGTTACATTTAGCTACTGCCATGGTACTGCTAATACCCTACAAACCAATCGTCAGATAGCCCACCGCACTCTTTTCAGCAGCCATCCAGAATCCGGGGGTAATATTAGGAGTATATAGATCTACCCCTTAGGCAGAGTCAAGACCTAAGGAATTCACATGGTTAGAACCATCCACGGAAAACGTCAAAAGTTTCCAAACATACCAAGTGCCTTAGCAATTGCAGCGCCAACACCTAGAGCAGAGTTGGGGTTCTGGCCAGTGATGATGCGACCATCAACGACGACGTGCTCCTTCCAAAGATCTTCTGCTTTGACATATTTGCCACCCACGCGCTTGATCTCGTCCTCCAACAGAGCAGGCATGAACTCAGTCAGCTTGATGGCATCTTCTTCTGCGTTGCTGAAGCCAGTGGCCGTGCGGCCACTAAGGAGCGGCTTTCCGTCGACAACGGCATTCAGGAAAACGATGGGGCCATGGCAGACGGCCGCAACAACCTTGCCAGCATTGTAGAAGTCCTCAATCAGCTTGATGGAATCCTTGTCGTTAACAAGGTCGAACATAGGGCCGTGGCCACCGGGGTAGAAGATTGCGTCAAACTCAGATGTCTTTCCCTGAAGATCCTTGAGGGCTACGGTTTGCTCCCAATGATGCTTCTTGGTTTCGTAGAACTTGACTGAAGCATCATCCTTGAAGTTCTTCACTGACACTTCGTCAATGGGAGCCAGACCGCCGGCAGGGGAAGCTACGACGATTTCAGCCCTGGGGTTTGCCTCATCCGGACCAATCAGGTGGAAGTAGGGCCGGGCAAATTCAGGCTGAGATTTTATGCTGTAAGTGACTATTTCCAAACCTCAAGGGACGAGGTCTTAGAAACTGACCAGATACCACCCAGTGGGTGCGCCATTGTTCATCTTAGCAGCGCTAGTGAGAACGAAGAGAATTCTGGGAGACATGTTGAAAGATTTTTAGGAGTGGTTTGTGGGTGATTTAATGCTTTTAGCTCACTGGAAGGACTATGATAATGATGGAAGATGTGTATTTCAATTGATGCATGATTTCCGCTGGTCTTTATACTTGAGAAGCAGCAATAGGGGGAGTCTTTCCACAAGATTAACATGGGGGCATTGACATCACAGAACCAACTGTTTGAAGCCATCACAACTCTTCGGCAACGATTTGCTCAATAAGCATAACCTGCCAAATAGAATCTTTCAAGGCATGATTCCATACATATTGGGTTGTATCGTTGCTGTTCTTGTCTGCTTTCTAAGCCTATGGTGGGCCAGAGTTCAAAGGACGGAACTTGCCGCACCAGGTGACGGGACTTTGTATGCGGAACTCCGTCCTAAACATTCCAACCTGGTGTAGGAAGCGGAAAAACCGTCTGCGTTCTATTGTTACTACTTTTAACTCTCCATTATTAATTATCATCAATATGCGAGTATTAGCCTCAAATGAATTGGTTTCTACTTTTGGTGTTGATGCCATATGAGTGAGTAGGGATAATGTCAGGTATTCGGTCTTAAGGGGGTGAACTAATCCCCCGCCATTGTTTTTGGGTGCAATTGAGAAGAAGCTCGCGCCATACGTCTATGTGTAATTTCTATTCTATTAAAGAAGGGTGGCTCGTACAGCGCACCCTTGTTGGATTGCTGATGTGATGAATCTTTAGCCTATGCATTGTCATCCACAAGTGACCTATGTCAACGACTGACCATCTAATATGACTTGATAAATTGATTCAGATAGTTTAAATAACAGGTCAGTAGCGGAATGTCAATGCTAAATACAAGCTACACCCTTTGTTCTACTCTACATAGAGGCTCGTGCATGTCCGAGGTGATCACTGGCCAAAGTCTACTAATATTGTGATATTAATTTCCGCAAAAAGGAGTACAGTAAAGCCTTTCTGAAATGTAAAAGATACTTGGCACTTGCTAGCGAAGTAGGCCTTTATCTGTACATGCATAAAGTTTCAGGGTCAAAATAGCGCCGTCAATCGAATCAAACGCAAGATAGCGACAACGGGATTCACCAGCTGATCAATATGATCGTCAATCTAGGACATCTGAAGGGCTCTCAATGACCAAGTAAGGAAAGACAGCCAATAAAGAATAAATTTTCTCCAAGATATTCCGAGTTACTAAGGGAGAATACCGTGGGATACTACAGATAGATGGTGATTAATATTGTGGACAATCCATCCCAGATCTAGAAGATCAGAAACTCTGGGAAGCATATTATACAGCAGACGATAGACCCTACACTCAGCCTTTTCCGGATTCAATAAATCCACGATGCCCCATGAAATATGGCCGAGCAAACAATCGCTTTTACGACGGCTGCTATTTCGATATGAGAGAGCCAATATATCGGAAAGTAGATGGAGCATCAGGGTATGACCAAGATGAATATGAGGGTCATCATTCTTTAGGCGAGACAGAGTCAACGTGGCGATTCGAAAAGGTCAACCTGCAAACAGTCCGGACGAACTCGACGAGGATAAAAGGAATGGGAAAAGCCACGTATACCTATTGCTCAGCCACCACTTGGCAATTGGAATTCCTGGGGGTAAACACGTCTCTCAATTTGAACTTGAACAGAATCGTTTAACTTATCGTCTTCTGGTCTCGTCCAAAGAAAGGCTTCCTTGTAGAATATCCTGTGACACGCAATGGAAATTTGCTGTTATTCGTTCAAAAGGAGCCTGTTTAGATCTGCTGATGCAATGGCTCTGCTTTCTGATACCAAAGAATTCATCTCAGTGCATTGGTTTTCTTTGTTTTGTTGCGCGAAGCCAGGTTATCTGGCTTATTAGACAAAACACTGCCTCCTGGAGTTCTTTGTCTGCTATGTCTTGTAGGAGATGCCAGAACCAATGAATATGCTTTTCTGACCTCACGCTGAAAACGTGACTTATATGGACTCAGATCTCTTTCATCCTTTAGGTCGTATTCTTTCAAGGGTGGCAAAACTCTTTGTGAGGCTCGTTAGCTAAAATGTCAAATTTTGCACACAAATTGATACCAAGCGCCCAAGTAGCACTATATCAAGGCATCATCCCCCTCTCCCTTCTACACGATCACAATTCTTCCCCCCTTTTCCACTCCATTCACTCAAAACATCAAGACAACCCTAAGGCAACGATGGAAACGTTTTGGTAAACGCCCAAATACCAATGCCAACATGGTTGAAGAATCGAGTTACCAACCTTGTCCCGAGGTGTTACTGAGCTTTCCCCAACCAAATCTATTGAACGAGTTTGGGAGCGCTCCAATACACAGCGCCGCCTATGAAGGTCAATTAGAGGCCATCGAGATACTGTTGAAATTCGGTGCGGACGTTTACATTACGAATCATGACGGATACACGCCGCTTGTGTACGCTGTGTCAGAAGGAAAACGGGATGTTGTGCAGTATCTTCTCGAGAAGGGTGCAGATGTTAAACTGCAAGACAATCGAAAAGCGTCAGCTCTGCACTATGCCAAGACAGCGGAAATAGTCGATATTCTCGTTGAGAAAGGCGCTGATGTCAACACGGTAGATATCGACGGGAACACTGCTCTTCATCATCAGATCAAGAAATCTTCCGCCGGCATACCTATTATCGAACGACTGATGAATGCTGGGGCGAATATAAACGCTAAGAACAGACTCAGAATTACGCCGCTAATGGAATCTGTCAAGAACAACAGCCCGGGCCTGGTCAACTATCTGCTCTCTAAAGGTGCCGATCCGAACAATGCCGAGCAACAATCCGAGTCGCCACTCTTCTACGCATGTTATCATGGAAATGCAGAGGTGGTAAAAATGCTCCACCGAGCCGGAGCACAAACAGATTTCCACTTTGAGGACTTTGTGGAGACTGCCCTTCATGCCGCCTGTGACAGTGATTCTGACGACCAAGACTTGCTTGAAGTCATTCGCTACCTTGTGGAAGATGGAAAGGTGAACGTGAACAAACGCTGTGGAAGTCAAGAAGAAAACGAAACTGCCGTTCATTGTGCCTGCCGTCGAAAGAGCCCAAGTGTCTTAGGATTGCTCATCGACAAAGACAAATGCAAAATTGACTTTGAGGTATCCGATAGGATGGGCCGCCGGCCGATTCATCTAGCTGCCGGCAGACAGCCTGACTGCTTCCAACTCTTGCTCAACCTTGGGTGTAATATTCATGCCACTGACAAGACCGGTCGTAACGCCCTGCACTGGGCGGCACAAGGCGGCAGTATTGACACTCTCCGTCGAATTCTTGATCAACCAGGTGTTAACATCGAGGCAACTGATCTCGACGGCTGGACGGCGCTATGTTGGGCAGCCCGGGGACCAATACCGAAGTCGACGTCAGAATCGAATTCTGACAGCAGCTCGCAGGCACACGTTGTTAAACTTCTTCTCGAAAAGGGAGCTGACAAGTCTGTAAGAGTTCGGGGCGATATAAATGAGCTCTGGACGCCACTTGAGATTGCCAATTTTCACGACACTGGAGATGAAGTGATACAGCTACTCAGAGAACACCCTACTGATGAGGACAATTTGAATTCATCTCAGAAAAGAGGATTTGTGCATGACGAAACATGTTGTGATTTCTGTAAAGCGGTAAGCACGTAACGTTCACTCAGAATTCCATGTCTTAGGCGTGTTCAAATTTCGCTAACATGGGGAAATACACCTTAGAACATTTACGGTACAAGATATTACTGCCGATTTTGCGATTATTATGATCTCTGTTTTAAATGCTTTCCTCATATGGAAGCATTTCATGAGGATGATCATGAATTCGGCTACTCATACGACAGGCGTAGAACTAGCTCAAATTACGATTCTTGAACTTGAATCTCTATATGGTTGCGTGTATAAAGACAAAATGAAGGCTTGGAGAGTTTCTGGAACATTGGGTGTTGAAGTTTTTTGCGGCTTGCAGATACACGCATCGGAAGTGCCAACGCTCAAGGCTCCACGATGGTCTTGCTTTACGGGTTCTCTTGAGAGGGGATAGGTGTTTTGTTTCATCAGAAGAGATTGTCGCAGTGATATCAACGCAAACGCGGAGGCGAACCTGGTTAGTGATTTCATAAATACAACATGCTGTCCACTTAATCGTTCCAGTCGCTCGATAAAAGACATAAAGGTCGTATCCTGATGAAATTTGTGCGCTGCTTCTATGGTTCCAGTAGTCACTCATGTCAAGATCCACGGTCATTCGTGTTCATTTGAGTTTCTCAATATTAAATCCACAAAAAACACTTTCTCAGACCGATTGGATACATTTTGTAGCAGTAAAACAGCCCTTTCCCCTCCAAAGTTTCTCAGAAGCGGTGTCACCGGCAGCAGGAAAGAAATCCCATCTATAGTCATCGTTAGTCATTGCCGTCTAAATCTGAGTACTGTACGCTACCAAGGAAGTTGATATTACAGCTCCTGCTGCGATAATGATCAAAATATAACTCTGTAAGGTAGGAATGGCGGGTTGGCACTCATCTGTATCATGCGACTCCAGCCGCTCCTGCATCTAGATCGACCATAGACGAATCGCGACAGGAAGTTGCAGTTGGAGTTGCAGAGATAAAAAACTTCAGATCTGCATCTTCGATCCTTGTTGTTCTTTCTCCATCAATATTTTGTCATTCTCTTCGCAACACTCTGCACATTTGCCCACGCCTTTTGTCATCTTTCCGGTCAACGGCTTCACTGCCGCTTGGACGAGCCGATGACCCTTCAAACTGTCGTTCCCAAATACCATCCTGACACATTTGCCTATGCAGTGTCTATTCAACAAGTGGTAATCCGTCTCAGAGCAACTCTCCAGTACGCTGCCTCTAAGGGCTGTCATCAGATCCTGCGAGGATCTTCGTCGCGTTTGGAGGGGATTCTCATCATCGACGGGCTTCTAAGGTAAGGACCCCTGAGATGATCCCCTGGGTTCCCAGTGAAGATAAAGCAGAACCGAAGCACTGCACTACTGCTTCGTGCAATGCTGTTGACGACCAAATGTCATCCTTCTGAGGGACGAAAGGGGTGAGAGGGGGTCGGGTTCACGCTTTCTCTTCCGAGTTTCCTTGACGCCGCACCCTACCAGCCGACTAGCGACATTCGCCAGAGCTGACAAAGGAAAAAAACCATGTTCTAGGTTTCCAAACAGGCTTTCCAATAGCCAGAGCCACATGAACGCCTCGAGATAACCCACGACCGATCGAGGACTCTACTCCTGAGTTTCAAGGGCGAATGCTTGCTCCGAACTCAGAAGTAAGTTTTCTACATGACGTCAGGTATGAAGTTTGCTGCTGACTACATGTACATATGCAAACACGCAGGGCAGAGAGCTGTGGGTGATGCTTGGTCTCCAGCAGCTTGCGTGTAGGTTAGAAGAAATGAGCATCACAATGAGGGTTCCGTATTATTGTTGGTTTTATTTTCAGTCTGCTCTTAGATATGGAGTATGTATGCACATGTATATAGCAATTCCAACCCTTTTTATTTATCTGACCCAACTACCTTCCAGCGCCTTGTGTAAGGGAACCCTCGGTAGAGAGAACCCAATGCCAAAGCACTGCACTTGGCTTCTTAATAGTACAAGTAGTGAGCACCATAGGGAGTTCGTCCTCTTTATATACCTACGCGTTGAATTCAGAGCAAGTTTCTGGATTTGCGGTAAAGGGCCGATGTTCACGAAAGTGAAATTGGCGCCTCTTGAAGCCATGGCTATATGTAAGCAATGCTCCCCTTGCGCGGTGGCAAAGATATACTTTTCTAATCTATAAAATCCAAGAGTCTCTTGATATATTTCAATCTCACATCCTATCATGATATGCTCCGTACATGTAGCATCTTCATTAAAACCCCAGATATACGCCTAAGATTTCGAACTTGGAACATTGAAGCTTGTACAGAGTTCATACAGAGGTACCCTGGACTAAGTACCTACTGCAGGCTCTCCTTGTCGCTTATCAGTGGGTTCCCGAAAAGGCAAAAACTGGGTCCGGCAACCACTTAGCGCCAAGCTCTTCTCGATGTCACTGCTCGCTGCTGTTGTTCTATTCCTTCAAACTTTCACCACCAGCAACACATCAATATGAATAACTTTCCAACCAAGGAGAAACAGCTCCTGATGGATCCCGTCGAGTTCTGGAGCAGCCAAAAGGCCCCCAAAAGGCCGTCCAGCTCCGCCTCGCAACGGCCATCAGCGCGCTCTGCAAGCAAGGATCGCGACGACCCGCTGCTCACGGCGCCTCCTGCTCGAGCCAGGGCTCCCGAAAGGAATGAATCGCGACAGTCGCGAATTGCTGTTGTTTTGAAGTCGCCGGCCCATCTGAACAGATCATCATGGTCACACGTCGAAGGCGAAAATGGCGGTGATAGTAAAGCAGTTGCAGCATCGGCATCGTCACGGCAGGCCACTCCTAATTTCGCTTCACGCGCAAAGAAGGAAACGCCGGTGCCTCTCCCTAAGACGCTCATCACAACATCAACAACAGCCTCAATTCGCACACCAGTGCCTCTACCAAAACCCTTGTCAAGAACATCAACACCAGCAGCCGGACCCGCAGCCGCGCCAATGGCTGTATCAACGGTAGCACGAGTGGCAGCACCTACACCAGTACCTCTTCCCAAACAGCTGATAAAACCACCAGCGCCAGCAACTTCAATTCAAAACGCGACAGCGTCAATTCCAACTTCATTGCCGGCTCTAGCCTCATCACCAGCGCCAGCGCCGGGTTCCCAACCAAGCGCCGGCCGGGGGCGGCCCAAGGGTTGGAAGCCCGGCATGTCTTATGCTTCACTACGAGGCCCTGTTTCTCCGAAGCCTGTCAAAGAGAGAACAGGAAGACCCGGTCGGCCGTCTAAACCAAAGCCTATCCAACTGGGTAACCCAAAGCGGCGCGGCAGGCCGCCAAAAGCGCCATCACCTCTACCGTGGCAAGTCTACCGGTCTCTACCAACCTCGTTTGCTGCCTTTTTGTGCGAATGGAGTGGCTGCAAAGCTGAGCTTCATAACCTGGATACGTTACGGCGCCACGTCTCCGTGGTGCACTGCCGGAAAGCGCCACTTGTTTGTTGTTGGGGGAAATGCGCGCAAAGCTCGCAAAGCTCGCCTCCTTACCAGTTCCCTGATGTACCCTCGCTTCGTGCGCACATTGAGCAGAAGCATCTTATACCATTCAGTTGGCATACCGGTGATGGGCCTCAGAATTATGGTGCCTCTAATCAGCGGTTGAATGATGAAGAGATTCCGGATTATCTTAAGGACGATGAAGGCAATCAAGTGACGCCGTCTATACGAAATCAAGAGGTGGAGGATTTCGCAACATGGAAACAGAATCGTCAGAAACTAAAGGATCTGCTGATCCAATTGAATGACAATCTACCGAGCGAAGAATCAGATTCTCCTGTGGACGAAGATTAACAAGGAGGAGGAATAAGCATATGATACCCTTGGCTAATGGTAAAGCTAGCAGTAGCTGATACATTTTGTTCACAAATGATTCAAGTATATGAACCTAATTCATATAGCGAAGAAAAAAGAAACACTTCATAATTGGGTAGGATGTTGAATCCATGCCCTTACGCCGTACTTTATATACGCATCCAGGTCATGGTGCAAAGATGTGAGCCGATCATTTGCATCTTGGAACCAAACACGTGTAGTGAAAGTAGCGGGTAAAGAAAGAAAGTAACAGACTGCGCAGACGCATGAAGTCGCCTCGTGACGCAATACTGTAGAAAGGCACTACGTCGATGCCGTGCTCACATCACAAAGACATCTCTTCATCACAAGCGGTCAGATAGTAGACCATCTCAACAGCGTGGCCGCAGCAACAACAGGCAGTACGCTGACGAGCTCGCCCAAGCCGGCGTATTCGGGCGGGATTCTCGCGTTGACAAACGCCCCAGCGGCAAGCAAGATGGCGAACAAATTGTACACAAAGCTCCAGCCAAAGTTGAAGGCGATTCTGCGCATGGATTTTCGGCTTACCGCAATGACAGTGAGGATACCGGCGAGGTTGGGGCTCATGAGAACAACATCAGCTGCTGATTTGGCGACATCAGTACCCTCTTCGTTCATGTGTACGCCAATGGTGGCCTGGGCGAGGGCGACTGCATCGTTGGTTCCATCGCCACAGAAAATGACGACAGGTTTCTTTGACTTGCCAACCTTATTGCTCTGTCCAGTGGGGGTAGGGCTTTGGACAAGGTCCTGAATGTATGCTTGCTTGTCAGCGGGAGTGCAGCGGGAACGAACATTGGCCTCGATAATGTTCAACCGCCCTGCAACGGAGCGTACAGCGCCATCGTCGTCCCCTGAGATGATGTGAACCGATATGCCACGATTGAGCAAAGTCCGAATCGTAGAGGTAGCATCTGGCCGAATTGAATCTTGGAGGGCAAAAATAGCAGCGATAGAACCACCGATTATGAAGCCGAAAACAGTGTATCCATGTGACAGCATTGATTGTACGACTGGATTGAACTCGAGGCCGAGCCAGCGGGAGTTGCCTGCCTGAAGAGCCAATCCAGATTCTTCTGCGATACCTTCGATGCCTTTCCCTGTCAGAGCTTTTAAACTTGATACCGGCGCAGGAGATATATCCTGGCTTTTTAGATGCAACGACATTGCAGCAGACACTGGATGCTTGATGCCATCAACAAGACCAAGGAGGAGAGACTTTGTAGCGGTCTGGTCACCATCGGCATACCATTCCTCGATCAATGTCAGTTTGCCCTCTGTAATGGTACCAGTCTTGTCGAATACTACGTGCGACGTCTCATAAGCAACCTCAAGGCCTTCCGCCGATTTAAAAACAACGCCCCGTTCAGCGGCAACACCGCTAGCAATGACTACAACCATGGGTACCGCTAGGCCGATGGCACAGGGGCATGACACTATTAGAACTGTGATTGCATATGTGATTGCTTGGATCGTGGCCTCGCTTCCAGATAGACCGCGAATCTTGATGCCAATGGCGATCCAGATGCAGAAGACGATAATGGTAATGGCAACGACGACGGGGACAAAATAGCTCGCAACCCGGTCAGCTATGGCTTGAACCCTTGGTTTCGATAACTTTGCCTCGTCCACCATGCCAGCGATGGTACTGATTGTATTGTCGCCGGGAAGTCGAGTCAGTCGAACATATAATGCACCTGAACCATTGAGAGATCCGGCAATGACTGGGGAATTACTGTGCTTCACGACCGGCATTGATTCTCCAGTCATCATAGATTCGTCGACCTCAGAGTTGCCAGACATCACCGTACCGTCAGTTGGAATCCTCGAATCGGGAGCGACCTTGAACACATCCCCATACTGGAGGAGACGAGCATCAATCTCCCTTTCACCTTCGTCAGTCACAATGAGGGCTGTTGTGTTCTGAAGAGATCGTATCGAGATGGATTCCACGGCTTTTTGGCGGGCCATGGCAGCCACCCAGCGGCCTACCATGATGAGAGTCACTAGTAGAGTACTGGTCTCGAAGAACTGGCCAGTCGACAGGGGCTGACCGGAAGCCAAGTAACCGAATGAGACAACAGAAAAGATGTAAGCTGCACTGGTACTAAGAACAATGAGAAGATCCATTTCAATTACCCTCGAGAAGACGAGCGCTTTGAGGGCCTTTGGATAGAATGGACCAGCGATTATGAATTGGACGAGTGTTGCCAAGGCCAAGGATGCCGAGCTGTATTCCAGATCATGCTTGGGGAGCGGAGCCCAGGCCATGACCAGAACTGGAACAGTGAGGCAGGCGGAGAGCAGTGTCATGTAACCGATATGACGAACGTGTCTATTGCCGGCCTCAAGTGTTGGGTCCCCGCGAGCCGTCGCGAGCTTGATTTGAACCTCGCCCCAACCGCGCTCGATCAAGTCTCTTGCACCGATAATGTCGGCGTTAAAACTAACATTGACGGTCTTGTTATCAACGACTTTTACTTCAGTAACCCCGTCTGGCCAAGGCTGGTTGACAAACGCAGCTGCATCGCCGTCGCAAACAATGATATCGAGGTTCGAGCCTTGATTCGTAATTCTTTCACATTTGAACTCTGTAGTTCTTTCAAGGTGCTTCGTCACCTCAGCCGCAGAAATAGATCCGACCAGGTCAAACTCGGCGCGAGCAAGCACTAAGCTGGTCTTTAAGTTCTTGACTGACGGGAGGGCACCGAGACTTCGCATCAGCTTTGTCTCGCATCCAGTGCAAGTCATACCCGAAATGCTGAGGATCACATGTTCTGTCTCATTGCTTGAAGACGGGCTCTTTTCAACATCAGCATCTTGGGCGACGCTGGTAAAGATTTCTGTCGATCGCTTGGCAGACCGACTTGGTCGCGATTCAGCGCAGCAAGAGTCGGCACAAGATTCCGCCACGCTCGGGGTCTTCAGCCCAGCTGGATCTTTGCCATTATCCAGACTTTTCTCATTCAAGACGACTGACTTGTTTGTGGGGCAGCAGTTTCCACCCGCCCTATCAGCGGCACAGCAATAGTCAACAGACTTGCGTGAACGGAGCGACAGCGTCTCTCTTGAGCGGCGTCGCACGCTCCCCGAGGTTGAGCGGCGTTGAAGGTTACAGCAAGTTTCTTGTCCAAGGGCGATGAGGGCACGGCAGATGCATCCAAGAGCCTCAAGTTTGCCCAAGTACATGTCCCGAATCTTGCGAGAGTGGCCATCACATGGCTTGCCGTTTTTGCCTCGACCGCAGTTGGAGGTCGTCTTACCATTGCTTGAACCTGTGAGTTGACAAGGTTAGATTTACCTATGCATGGGCGTTTGTCGAGCAATCGAGTTGCTTACCAGAGCCAGGGCCTTTGCACTCACGAAGCGCAAGGCGATCTAGACAGGTTTGGTCACAGCATGGAGAGATTTTGCCCTCGCAGCAAGGTGGTGCTTTCATGATATCGGGACATGGTTTATCTTCCTTGGAACAGCAAGCCTTGCTGCAACTCGACTGGGAGATCTGTGGAGCGCAACAATCATCCTCGGAGTCGACTTCTTGAGCCTTGTTCTCGCATGTCTCGTCAGTCTGTAGCTCTGCTACCGAACCACCACAGCACGAATCCTGGCATTGCTCGTCGTCTGACTGAATCGGTTTGTTGCATTCGGTATCGGCGATTTCAGGCTCCTCAAGGTTGGTATCTGGCACATCATCAACGCAGCAGTCTTCCTCTGGCGGTGCCTTGGAGGGCGGTTCACAGCAGCCAGAGCCGCAGGCCATGATGGAGATTTGGGTGATTCTGTCGACTCTGGATAATTTGGACCTGGTTTGAATCGGGAGAGACACGTCAATGGAGGTCAAAGGTCAATGCCAAGCGTGCACGGTAAATCAAAATGGCGACGACAAACGGATGAGAGATGACCCCTCCCGAAGGTCACCGAATATCACCAATAGTATAGCGGGAAACATATTGCCTAGAATTTTGCTCTCTCTTTTGTGATAATAGCTGTTGATACATTCATCAAGCGTGACACGTTGGCATACTTGTTTAATGTAGTCAATTATTTAGTATAATAATGTCAAGCCCATGAATTGGCTTCATATCATTTGATGCTCATGTTGCATCGATTGATGGTTGGCTGGGCCTAATGAGGAAGAGCGTCCACTTAACCTTAATTGACAGCTCAACGAACTCTATCAAGATTCTTGGCGCAAATGGCGTCTTCCTCCTCACCACTTTGTGAAATTATTCATCAAAATACATTGCATGGCCATCTTTATTAGGTTCCAGATGATGCCGTATGTTTGTTGACTTTACAAATGCTGGGCCGAGAGAGTGCTATCCTATTACTGACTGCCCGTGTTTAGGCGAAGAAGAAATGTGTGTGTGCTTCAGTCCAGTTCGTTCAGGGGGCCAGGATCGTCCCATCTATTTAATCAATGCCAGTGATGATGGTGCATGTGCCAAAAAGATTCCTTCAGTGCTACCGTATGCAGCCCAATCTGCATTCCAATGCACCAAATAGACTACGGACATGGCTCTCGGGTTTTAGCAACCCAGACGACACCAGATACCAGGATTGGCAACTGGCCACTTCAGCCTCCCATCGCAATACGAGTCTTCAATGCTCATCACCGGGCTTCCGGTCGGCATACAAAGAGGGCGTGCGCGGCTGTGGCGCTGCAGGGAAACAATTAGATACTTGACAATTGACGGGAATCGCGACGCCTCGTCCAAGCCGATCAGCATTGGCGGAGCTTATGGAGCATCACGGCCCACCCCTTTCCGCCATGTCGGGCTTGAAACAACCGGAGAATGGAGCATCGTTGTTCTGATTTTTCTCTTTTCTTTTGGCCCATTCCTTGTTTCCAGTTCCAGCAACTGATGGGATGATTACATCATGGCATGAACGGCTGCACTCCGTGTTTTAGCGCGAAACAAATTCCGATTGCCATCTCATCACGAATTTGGCCATGTTTGATTGATTGCATGGGTGCTCGGCGACATTCTGGGACAGGACAACGACAGGCATCACGCCAGGCCTTGGGGCTCGTATGATGGCCTGTAGAGTCGCCAGATTCCGAACATACCGACCAGCCGTTGGTCGTGTCTGGTCTGGGGCATCGCAGCGTGTTGCATTGCATCGGTTGCAGTGCTGTACATTAGTAGGTACGAGTGATGGACGGAGTACCAAGAACGGGGTCCGTACGAGTGCTGGCAGAGGCGATTCCGGGCGCAGAGAGGCAGTGTCTCGGATGACAGGCGGGAAATGAGCACTTGTTGGTGAAGCTCGACTGCTGTTTGATGGACTAATGCAGCCCTAGCCTCAACTCAGGCACATCAGGCAGTGGTACGAGGTCAAGCTTCAAGCTTCAAGCAGTCATGCATCGCATCAGCCCTTCGCAGATGCACATCAGGACGAGGATTGGTGGTGGAGACTCGACACGGGCGCTGCTGCGGATAATCGAAACATGGATGTCGTGAACTCTGCCTCATTGGCCTGGTTGGTAAGCAGCTTCATCTGCCGCAAACGCGTCCAGTCTCACTGGAAGGGAAAATGGAGGGAGAGGGGGGAAGGTGGTCGACTCCGCAGCGCGGCAAGTACAGGTACATCCTCCGCCAAAGGTACCGGTACGAGCAGCAGCCACAGGCACAGGTCCCGACAGGCACTGAAGGGAGAGCATGACGACTCACTGCTGCACTAGCATTTCATTTCAGTCAACACGAAAGCGAATGCGCGCGCGCGGCATGGCGTCAGGCGGGTTCCGGTGCAGCCCGGCATCAAATTTGCAAGCTCGGGCAGCATTATAAATTGGTTTCTGAAGCCAATATCAAACAGACGCCCCCCCGTATCGTATTGATCGGGATACCGAATACCAGGTTTTGCAAATGGAAATCAAATTGATGCATCGGGTGGCTGTGTGCCTGTGCTTACGAGCGGGCAGAGAAGCGTATTGAATCTTCGATGGGTTGAGTGAGGCGCCATCCCATCGTTTCTCATGACTCGCTCTGCGGTACCTCTACCAACAGCCCCAAAACGCTCACGATGCCCTTCCCAAAGATCCCCGACCTAGTCCGCTACGGGGCTAACGCGCACCCGCTAGCTGCCTCTCCCCAACGCCCCCTGAACGCCTCGTCCTAACCGCTGTGGCCCCCCGTAACTCAATTGTGCTGCCCCGTTGGAGGGCTGCAACAGCCTGAACTGGGCGCCCTCCCGATCTGGCACGCCAAGTACCTGTACCTGCTCGCGCCTCCACAAATCTCGCCCAGTGATAAGCCCGCAAGGGCCAGTGACGCTGATGCCTGAGGCAACGTGGCTTGCCGTGAGCGGACCGGCCCACCAGCTTTTGTCTCAACTCGCGGTACCTCGTCCAGCCGCTTCAAACTGTTGGCAGAAGCGTTCGACCTGCATCCAACAAACATCATCGTCGCCCATAATTCGAGCCTCTTTTTTTCTCGCTATCCCGCTGGAAAAGTGTCTCTACCATCCAGCACCTGCTTCCACGTCTGCTGTGCGAATCATGGCCGCAGTTGCTTGAGCGAAACCCCCGTTAGCGTCACCCGAACATTGATACCATCAAAAATCCACAACCCACCTCCGCATCCACTCGTCGGATCCTCTCCATCTTCATCGTCATCGTCAACGCCTGCGTTTGCGTTTGCGTCTGAATCTGCATCTACATCTGCATCTGCATCTGCATCTACGTCCTCGACTTCGGCTTCTTCTACGTCATCAAGTCTTTCGTTTCCTCATCATCATCACCATCATCGTCGTCGTCATCCCCATCTTCTCCATCTCCTAACCCAGCAATGCCATCCTCAAAAGTCGCCAACAGCTCTGCTGGGGGCCAGGTCAGCAATCGCCTGCGCAGCTTCTTTCGCATGAACAGCAGCGCCAGCAGTATCGGCGAAAAAGAAAGGAGCAGCAACTCGCTCAACCTCAACGGGCCTTCGAGCAACGGCAGCGGCAGCGACTCGCACTCTACCAAAACCTCTCGACACACAAAACTATTCAACAGCACCGTTGGTCGCCTGAGGTCGCATACCGTCGCCAGCGAGAGCAACAAGCTAGAGGAGGCAATGAGCCCTACGGCGCTTGCCAACCCCTACTTTGCTCACCAGGGACAGCCTGGCCTGCGCCATCACAACGAAGGCTCTGTGCCACCAAGTCCTCCCGATACGCCAACGTTGAAGGTGTCGGGCCCAGATGGCACAGAGGCCGAACAGGCTACAAGCGAAACTAAGGAAGAGCTGGCCCGCAGGTTAAGGAGGGTTGCCAGTGCACCTAATGCTCAGGGACTGTTTGCGAGTGCTGGAAATAAGGGCGAGCGCCCGGGCACCGCTGAACTCGGCAAAGACCCCTTGATCCAGAATGCCAAGTCAGGGTCACTGGGCCTCGTCGACGGCGGCAAGGCCGATGCAGCACAGCATTTACAGAGCGAAGATACTCTGGGTGCCCTGCCTCCCCCGCAGACTTCTTTAGCCTTCCGCAGAACGTATAGTTCCAACTCGATCAAGGTCCGCGATGTCGAAGTTGGCCCTGCCAGCTTCGACAAGATCAAGCTTATTGGCAAAGGTGATGTGGGCAAAGTCTACTTGGTTAGAGAAAAGAAGAGCAACCGGCTCTACGCCATGAAAGGTAAGAAATGAGAGCTTGAAAATTGACACCTCTGCGGTCGCTAATTTGGTCCCATAGTCTTGAGCAAGAAGGAGATGATTAAGCGAAACAAGATTAAGCGCGCCCTCGCTGAACAGGAAATTCTTGCGACAAGCAACCACCCCTTTATCGTCACTCTGTACCACTCGTTCCAGTCAGAGGACCATCTTTATCTTTGCATGGAATACTGCAGTGGAGGAGAATTCTTCAGAGCACTCCAGACTCGCCCTGGCAAGTGCATTCCAGAGGACGATGCTCGTTTCTACGCCGCCGAGGTCACGGCTGCTCTGGAGTACCTCCATCTCATGGGTTTCATCTACCGAGATTTGAAGCCGGAGAGTACGTGCCCCCTTCAAATGGGAAGAGAATGAGGAGACGCAGCTGACTAACGTGTTTCTTTAGACATCCTGCTTCACCAGTCCGGCCACATCATGTTGTCGGATTTTGACTTGTCAAAGCAGTCTGGCCCTGGTGGCAAGCCGACGATGATTGTTGGCAAGAACGGAGCTAGGACCGATTCTTTGCCCACGATTGACACGCGATCATGCATCGCCGACTTTAGGACAAACTCGTTTGTCGGCACCGAGGAGTACATTGCCCCCGAGGTGATCAAGGGCAGTGGCCACACGAGTGCAGTGGACTGGTGGACCCTGGGCATCCTCATCTATGAAATGCTCTACGGAACCACGCCTTTCAAGGGCAAGAACCGAAATGCCACCTTTGCCAACATCTTGCGTGAGGACATTCCCTTCCCGGACCACACTGGAGCGCCACAAATCTCAAAGTATGTTATTCTTGTCTTATATAGAACGACTTGTCACATGAATTGTTGCTGACCCATCTCGTTATAGCCTCTGCAAATCGCTCATCAGGAAACTGTTGATCAAGGACGAGAACCGCAGATTAGGTGCCCGAGCTGGTGCCTCTGATATCAAAGCCCACCCCTTCTTCCGAACGACTCAGTGGGCTCTGATTCGCCACATGAAGCCGCCTATTGTCCCCAACCAGGGCCGTGGAATCGACACCATCAACTTTAGGAATGTTAAGGAGAGTGAAAGCGTTGACATCAGCGGGGCCAGAGCCGTTGGTGTTCCCCTGGATAGCGGACTGGCAACCCCGGGCACTGAAGCTGCAGACCCATTCCTTGAGTTCAACAGCGTCACGCTTCACCACGATGATGATGTGCAGTTCCACGACATAGCCTATGCTTCATCACCCTCTTCCCGAAGTTGAGCTTTTGATCTTTTGAAACCTGGCGATCCGACATCGAACCGATTATCTTTCTTCTTTTCTCCAGGAGGCTCCGGCCCAAATTTTGATATCATGCGTGTACACGGCTAAGGTTATGGGGATTGTTAAGATTACGACATTTGCGTCTTTTATTCGAGCGACCGAGTTTTTTACCCTTTTGGAGTTGACGCCTGCATGGAATATCCCGTCATTCGCTCCTTTTGCTTTACAGCAGGCAAGCTAGCAGATACAAACTCATAGCGGATTCCGTACGATGCCCACCCCCAGAGTTGTCGTTTAGGATTATTGTTGAAGAAAAGTCTGTCCAGCATTGTTGCAAGTCTGTCCACTTGAATTCGGCGTCTTTTTTTGGTTGTTTTTCTTTTTTTTTTTGGGCGTTTCTTGGGAGTTTGTTCTGGCGCCAGGGAGGGCATGTCATGTAAACTGTCAACAGTCTATGAAGATACGTTTGATCTACCAATAGAACAAGGATATTCTGACGAGTTTGAGTGTGTCATTCTGTGATTGGTTTTTATTTGCATGGCGGCTCTCGTCTTGTTGGGAGGTTCTTGTTTATATTAGTGCAAGGGTTTAATATCAGCTTTGAGAACTTATTCAACCACAAATTCTCCAAACTCGCGTCTTTTGATATGTACACGATGGTACAAGCAGGTCCGACCAATACAAAACATGGTAGATTCACTTTTGGCATCGAACCTGCGAGGAATTGAGCATCGCAGTCGCCAAAGAATAACCCACCACAGGTCCTTGTTTATCAATCCTCGGTAAACACCAAATCCTCCTACCCTCAATACTAGTTGCCTCTCATTCTTCAAACCTTTACATCAGTAACACGCTATATAGCAGCCAAACATCACATCCTCTTAGTTATACGCAAAAAGACGGCATATTCACGATAGCAACCCTACTCCTCTTCCACGGCTCGTCCATTCTTTGCAACGTCGAACCGCGCTGCAGGTACAACGGGCCGATGGCCTGCCGCTGGATATTCCCTCAAGTGATGGCGGACGGGTGGGAGCGTCGCGAGACAAAGTACAGCAGCGCGCCGGGCAATGTCGGTGATGCTGGCCGTGTCGTAGTGGTGCGTCAAGGTGCCGATGCTGTTCGTCTCGCAGCCGACGTTTACGAGCTGGGATGGGCCGTTTGAACAGAGAGGCCTGGACCGGGAGATTGGCGAGGAGTTTCCTGTAAAGCACCCGTGCGAGATGAAGACGGAGGACTGCGTCAACTTCTGGGTGTACCATCGCTGGGTGGCTTTTCTGGGGGGCGCTGAGGCCGTGCGACATGACGCGGGAGATGGTTTTCGCGGTGACTAAGGCGCTGGAGCGGAATCTTGAGGAGGCGCGGTATTTGCTGGGGAGGCGCTTGGAGATGGGTGGTGCGGATGTGAGGGATTGGAGGGAGTTGATTGATCGATTGAAGCGCCGGGTGAGCATTATGGCGGTGGGAGTCTTTCCGAAGCTGGAGGTGGGAGAATATCTGGGAGAGGCGGCGAGGGCGGCATGAGATGGATATTTGGAGCGGCTGTTTTGTTGTGTCTTGAGTGTCTTTGAGCGATGGATTGTGTCATTCTGTGTATGCAGTAGCGTTGTGGTGGTTATAGAATCAAAGCGATCAACTCACAAAAGTCTTTGGTGTAGTGGTCTCGTGTAGTGGTCTCATGTGTAATATGAGAAAATCATTTTCAATTTTCTTGCCTCTTCACCTCCCCCTTTTTTTTTCCTCTTGCAATATATCATACAGTCATGGCTATGCCCCCTCGTCCGTCCTCCCCTCCCAAGATGTGATGTTCCCATTGCATGACAACAAAAATAGTAGTATGAAAAACCCCGTTCCTTGGCACACACGCATTGATATGCTGGGACAGAAGAAAATAAATAAAGTGAACCCCGGATAGAATGCCTCCATGAGTTGTCATCATAATCATCGAAAACGCTGCTGCTGCTGCTGCTGCTGCTCGAGTTCGGCATCCCCCCTCATCTTATGCCATCATCTCACCCGCATTCCCATCCTTCTTCCTCCGCGCAGACGGCCCAATCTTCTCCTGCCCGCCCATCCACGGCCGCAGACACTCAGGGATAGTCACGGTGCCTTCTTCCTCGTCCCACCCGTTCTCCAGCAGCGCGGCCAGCACCCTCGGCACCGCCAGCGCCGTGCCGTTGGCCGTCCAGGGGAAGCTCAGCCTGCCGCTGCTCGTCTTGAGCCGCGTGGCGAGGCGCCTCGTCTGGTAGTCGGTGCACAGGCTGGCGGAGGTGACCTCGCCCCAGCCGCCGCTGTGGTGCTCGCGGCTCGGGAACCAGGCCTCCATGTCGATCTTGCGGGTGGCCGAGGCGCCCAGGTCGGTGGAGGGCATGGAGAGCACGCGGCAGTAGAGCCCCAGGGACGAGAGGATCTCGGTCTGCATGTCGAGCATCTCGTCAAAGACCTCGCGGGCCTCGAACTCGTCGGGGCTGGTCCACGCAAACATCTCGACCTTGGAGAACTCGTGCACGCGGTACAGGCCCTTTGTCTCGGCGCCGCGGGCTCCGGCCTCGGCGCGGTAGCATCGCGACACGGCGACTCGCTTCAGGGGCAGGTCCACGGCGTCGATGGTGGACATGGCCTTCATGCCGGCGAGGGGGATCTCTGACGTCCCGGCAAGACTCATTTCAGGCACTCCGCGGTCGATGTCGGCCTGAGACTGGGCAATGGAGTAGACTTGCTGCTCGCCGTTCTGGTCTCGGGGCTGGAAGCCGCACGCGGCGCCAATGTGGCTGTACACCATGCTGGGAGGCGACACCTGCGTCCATCCGTGCTTGGTAGCAACGGTGAGGGCATATTGGATGAGAGCCTGTTCAAGCTGTGCTGCCTCGCCAAGCAGGTAGTACCAGCCCCAGCCAGATGCCGTCGCCGCTCCGGCAAAGTCGAGAATGCCCAGTTCGGCGCCAATGTGGACATGCGACCTCCAGAGCTGCTCCGGCCCTTGCTCGAAGCTCGGCGGCTCATTGATGTAGCTCAAGACCTCGGCCTCGTCCCCCCTCGGCGTGTCGGCGCTGGTGAGGTTGGGAATCTCCAGCGCCAGCTCCTCCATCTGCGCAACCGCATCGGCCTCCTTCTTCTCAATCACAACCAGCTCGCTCTTGAGCGCGCGAGCCTCCTCCTGGACCTTGTCCCGGCTCATCTGCTTCACATCCTTCAAGTCCTCGTCGTCAGAGCTCGTCGCCGAGTTCGCCAGCTCTTTTCTCAGCAAGTTGGACCTCTCCCTCAGCGCACGACCATCCTTCTGCAGCTGCTGCCACTCGGCATGCAGCCGTCCGATCCTTGCGGGATGCGCCGCCTGGCGCTTGTAGTTGCGCTCCAGACATGTGTTTTCATAGAGCTCCGGGTTTTGCCGAATGTGCTTGATGTCCACGATGGGCTTTGGCGCGGACGAGGGACGTTTAACGTCTGAGAAGCTCCGCACGTAGAGGATTCGGGCTTGTAGCCGCCATTGAGGGCAGCGCAAGCGGGCCAGAGACGTGGTCATGGCGGATATTGTCGAGGCATGGTGATGATGTCAAGCCGAAGCTATTGGCAGCTCCATCTGATGATGGTGGTGTGGTAGATGGAGAGCTCTGCCGATATGCGATTAAGCGGAAGACTCACAGTGCGAGACAATGCTGTACGAATACTGTCTCGACCGCCATCCATCCATTCCATCTAGATCATGCGAGTAATGAATTGGATGGTTCGGTAATATCTGCCAAGAGTCGATTCACACAATCACATCGTTAGGCTGACCTTGTTTGAAGTTCGCCTAGTATGCTTAAATGTTACAGTGAGAACTTTAATCACCACAACGCGAGAGACACAGTCCTTGCATTAGAAGTATATTTCATCATGGACACGAGTCTGGTGTCGTCGCTATTTTATCTGCGCTTGAGCCAACGGCTCTGTACAGGTTTGCATCGAATCTAATACATCATTCGTACCCCCCTTCCCCCAGAGTAAGACATTATTCATGTTGTATGTATATATAACGCTTCCAAATCCAATGGTGTAAATAAAACGCCATGCTCACGCAGCTGCCGTCGCCCCCTTTTTAAAATGGAATGGTATCAACCCAAAGCAAAAATCCCAATCCGGAGAGATGAAAAGAGCATGCCAGAAATGACAAGATGGAACGCTTCACACTTCCTCGTAGTGTTTTTACACGTTCTCGGCGGGACCACCGGCCTCGCTTTGTTTCGTCGGGGCATTGGCCAATGCTGCATTGTGTTCCTCCTCCTTCTCAGTGGTCTCGTCGGCGCTCGACTCGGCTGTCTTGGGGTCATCGGCCGGAGCAGAAAAGACTGGGGCGATCTTGCTCTTTGATCTAATTTTGGCGCCATAGAAGTAGAAGGCGAAGGGAATAGGAGCAAGCACAAGGGCTACGCAGCCCAGCAGTGTCGAAGCCCACTCGATATGCATGCCGAGGAACATTTGACGGCCAAAAAGCGGGAAAGCAGCGCCAAATAGGGATCTCATGAACGTGTTGCCAGCAAGGGCTGAGGCGGCGAACATGAGGTATGCATCGACAATGTAGTTGAGGGCCTGGAGGAAAATCGACATGAGACCAAAGCCGGTGAGGATACCGCTGACAGCCGGGGCCGCCCAGTGAATGCTCTCCTTGTATCCAGTCCTGACATGTTTGTTAGTTAACTGATCAAATGAAATGATGGCAAGTGAATTTGAGATGGACAACTTACCATCCGAACCAAAAGATACCGCCGGCAAACGCAACGCCACCAACCATCATGTTGGGCAGTCGCCACTCGGGAATGGGTATGCCGTGGTTGGCCTCTAGCTTGCGGTTGTACCACGGAACCTGAAGAATAATGGTGAGGGTCGCAAGAAGCTCACCAATGACCAAGCCAAAGAAAGTCAGACCGGACTGACCCAAGTTGAAGCCGTGAACACCGACGAAAACCAGGGGGTATGCGGTAAAGAAAAGGTAGAGAAGCCCATAGATGAAGCTCATGTAAATGGAGAGAAGCAGGATGATGGGCTCCGTAAAGAGGAGTCGCAAGGGACGGGTGAAGTTCTTGCTGACGAGCTCGCCAAAGTCGATTTCGATTTCCTCCTGTTTGGCGTGGATGCCCCAGTTCTTGGTGCGACGTCGCAGTTCCGAAGCCTTGCCAACGAGAATGACTGGTGGGTACGACTCGGAGAGGAAGAACAAGTCGAGAATGAAGGCGACAAATCCCATAATGGCAGGGAGATACTCGGTCCAGCGCCATCCCAGATATGATTCGACAATGAAGCCGCCGATGAAAGGCGCCAGCATGGGGCCAGTAAAGACAGTCATGGAGAAGATGGCAATAGCCGTTCCTCGAGTCCTGTTGTCGAACATGTCGGAGAAGACGGCAGCAACGACAGCCAGGGGGGCGGCGCCGAAGAAACCGGCAAAGAAGCGACAGATGAGGACGGTCTGAATGTCCTTGGCGGTGGCGGTCGCGATGGTGAAGAGGGAGAAGCCAAATATGGAGAGGACAATGGGCAGACGGCGGCCCTTGAGTTCGGATAAGGGAGCCCAGAGACTGGGACCAAAGGCGAAACCCAACACATATAGCGATGTGCCTAGAATGCCAACCTCGAGGCCAACGTCAAACTTTTGAGCAACGGTGCTCGTTGCGGAGGAGAAGATGGAAGATGTAAAGGTGCTCGTGACGGTGGTGTAGGCCAGCATGGCAGCCGTCAAGAGCTTCTTTCGAAGGGGCCAGTTCTGGGCGTGTAGGGGATCGTTGGGTCCGTCAAACTCGACGACGTACTCTTCCTGGGCCGGCAGCTGGGGAGGATATGGCTTGCCGCCGCCAAATGACGGCAATGGCTTTCGAGAAGCTCTACTCTCTGTACGAATTGAGCCTCCAACAGTGTTAACGTGCTGGCTTCGTTGAGTTGCAATGCGACTCAGGGCGGTGGGGTGGCGCTCCAGATCGTTCTGCGTAGATACGCGACTCATGTTTCTGCGGAAGACGCTGCCTTCGGAAGACGCAGACGAGGCTGAAGATGCCGTGATGACGCGCTCTATTTCGTTGCTTGCCCGGCTCTGATAGCGCTCGGGGGAGGCAGAGCGCTCTGCCTCCATGAGTTCCCGGTCGAGGGGATCCATGGTGACCAAGTCGGCTGACGCTCCTCTCTATGCGTGATGCGCAATCTGCAATCTTGTTCCCAATTGCGCTTGACAGTTAGTTGTAGCAGCTACAGGGAGGAGCTACAAGAGAGACGAAGAAGAGGCCGGAGAGCGGACGAGACTCCGGATGGTATAACAAATATTGATGGTCCGAAGAGAATTTCTGTCCAGGAAGAGAGAAGAGAAGAGAAGAGAGATGTGAGAGCTAGAAAGGCAAGGGCCGAAAAGCTTGTCGCAGGGACGGCAGTTGTGCGATAGGTGGAACGAGGAGTCTACAGTACGATGGATCGGGAGCTGGGCGGACCAAGATATCATGTACTCGCTACTCGGTCGGTCTAGTACAGCCGAGTGTTACCGAAACGGGACAAGGAAGTCGGTAGGCTAGTACGAGTGGGGAATCTTGGACGAGCTGGCGGGGCGGTCTATTAGCTAAGGTGGATGCGATGATGAAGAGTTACGAGTTGAGTCGAGTCGAGTCGAGTCGTACGAGGTAGTGAGAAGAAGAGAAGAAGAAGAAGAAAATGATGGGCCGTATATGCTTGGTGATGAATAAAGACGGAGGGAAAGAGTCGCCGGCGGGGGATATTCGCTTGTTCCAATGCTAAAGAGAAATGCAGCAAAACAAGGGTTGATGAGTACACCAATCCTATTGCATCAACCAACTAAGTAGCAGGGCGAGACAGAGGATCTCAGCGACTGCACGGAAAAGGATGGCGGATAAATGAGAACAGCCAATGCATGTAAGACAAGACAAGCGGCGCACGGCGTTCTTTTATGGCTGGCCGACTTCAATGCCAGACAGGACATGTCACTACTAATTGCTACCGTCGACGTTCGGCTTAAAACTAGTCGTACGTAGGTAGTTGATTACGGAGCATGTTCCGCTCAATATAACCAATATGCTATCCGTCGTAGTACGAGTGCAAGCAGAGCTTCGGCCCCCCGATGTTACCCAGCCCGTCGATGGGGCCGGCTTTGAAATCTCTGCGCTCCCTGACAGGGCCCTCCCCTATTTTTCTTCGCTCTCGCTCTGCGGCAAACCAAGCAATGGAGCCAGCTAGAATCCGGAATGCCAGATAGGGCTCGAGCTAGAGGTCTTGACTACCGGTGCGCATCCCGGATGTCTGGCTTTGGCTCCACCGCCGCGTCGAAACATGTGGCACATCGACGAACAGCACGAATCGCGGGTTCTAGGCTCGGGAGCCAGCCGTAGACAATTGATTGATGCCCAATTACCCTTTTATTTTATTTTATTTCCAAACATTTCCCCTGTTCTTTCAGGTCGTTGCCAAGCAGCCTTTGCTCCACTACATATCCAGCTCCGTTCCCCTATGTCATTTCGGCCTGCTTGAGATAGAGTCAGTAGATGTTGACTCCTCGGCACGGAGACAGCGGCCAAGAACAAAGACGGCGGGATTTGCATAACCCCATCATCGTACTCCGTACGTACTTACACATGTAACAGCACGCATGATTGCATAGATACCCACCGTTGACGCCCATTTGAATTTCAAATACCGTAACATAGCCTCTCGGGCTTGGTCCCCATGGAGTGTCCGTCCGAAGGTTTCTCTTTCATCCGCAATCTTGTCTCGGCCGGTTTCGCCTCTGCCGCTTACCTTTGCTGTGCAATGACGTAATTCTTCAATGATTTTTTTTTCTGCCGGCAGCGAAAGGCCGAGAAGCGACCTCAGCTTGTCGGACCCAACACTAGGCGAGCTAGCCGTGCGAGTTGGTCAGCGGCTGATATCGGAACAAGGCCTGTGCTGTTTCTTTCGTGCCAAAGTGGCATCTCTTATTACTGACCCCGGAGCAAAAAGCTTGATTCCCTATCAGAGAGAATTACGGGTACAAGATGAATCGCCTCAGGGATTTCTCTAGTAGATTCCAGCACCTGCTTGCCTGACAACTGACAGCGGCGCGGCCATGATTTATGCGCCGGCTGGGTCGTGTCCTGATTGGCTGGTCAACATTGCCCGGGGACGGAGAATATCCTATAAAGTCCGACGCCGAGGTTTATCGCAGCGCACGGCGAATCCCCTTACTCGTACTTACTTGCAGGTCCAGGAATACAGGAATAGCAGCAGTATCTGATTGTGAACCGGCAACTTTAGCTCCCGCTCTGGTCTCTGTGCACGAACGATGGAGCCGTGCACAGAAGGGGTGGAAAGATGGTTACCTCAGCAAGCTTAGGTACTTGACATCGGGCTTTGTTTGGTGTGTCTTGGTGATGACTTTGCGTGCCCAGAATGGCAACTTACACTAGTAATCGATGGATCAATGCTAAAGGACTACATTCATACTAATTCATAAGACGATTGAAGTCCTGTATCCAAGACTCAGAAGAAACAAAGACGCCATTGGTCTCCCAAATGCGAACAATCTCACAGCAAGCTTCGCTGTTCGCACACCGGCTTGCTACAATCCTTCACTCAGTCACTAAAGGACGCGACGCATAGTCTACGAGTACAGCAGGTATCAATAAAGAATAGTCGGCTTTTCGCTCAAACGAATCGAATAGCGCACAACGATAATATCGCTTCGTAGGCAAATGATCCCATTTTCCACGCGTCGCCTGGGGGGGCTGACCGGATCCTTCCAAAGTCCATGTCGCTAAAAAGTCCGGCTGGGTGGCTGAAGCTGAGGAAAAGTGACCCGAGCAAAAAGTCTCAACGGAGAGTTGGGCAGCTCAAGCTTCACTGATCGGATTTTTTCTCAGATGAATACAAAAGGCTTGCAGACGTCTTTTTTTTTTTTTTTTTTTTTTTTGGAAGACGGATGAATCAGTGAACTATCGCAACATTTCTCTCTCTTGTTTTCATCGACATCTCATTGATCACCTGAAGCTTTACACTGCAGCTCACTTACACTACCAACGGCCACTTACAGCTACTCCACACAAGACCACCACTTTATTGAAAAGACTTGATTCAATATGCAAAACCTCAAGATTGCCATCATTGGAGCTGGCCCAGCAGGTAAATTTCCCCAATAGCGAAGAAAAAGCATTTCGCTGTCTCAACTTCGACAACTAATAACCTTTAAAATAGGCTGCACTCTTGCCCGGCTCCTTCATCTTGGAGGCATTCAAGCTACCGTATTCGAAGGCGAGGCCTCTGCCAATGTCCGATCTCAAGGAGGAACCCTGGACTTGCACACTACCTCCGGTCTAGCTGCCGTCAAAGAAGCTGGCCTATGGGACATCTTCCTATCGCATGCGCGCTACGATGGTCAATACATGGCTATCGTGGACAAGGCCCTTTACTATTACGTCGTCCGAGGTGCTGACCCTGAGTCAAACATCGCTTTTGGCGAACGCCCGGAGATTGATCGTGTGAAGCTCAGAGAAATCCTGCTCGACTCTCTGCCTGAAGGAACCGTCAAATGGGGACACCGCCTGCAGAAGGTTGAGGGCAGCACCTTGACCTTTACTAATGGAACTACTGCCAGCTTCGACCTTGTTGTCGGTGCCGATGGTGCATTCAGCAAGGTCCGCCTTTCCATTGCACCAGAGCTGATGCCAGAGTACACCAGAGTGGCAATGCACGACATCTCCATCCCTGACGCCGAAAAGACTGCCCCTGAGACTTACAAAATCGTCAACCGTGGGAGTATTTTTGCCAGTGCGGACGGTCAGCGATTCACCCTCCAGCAAATGGGCGATGGCAGCATTTCCATGGGCTTTAGTTTTGTGCGTGAGGATCCAGACTGGATGAAGGCCGACAAGTGTGGCTACGATTCCGAAAATCTTGTCGAGGTGAAGAAGGCGTTGGCGAAAGAGCTGGAGCATTGGGGTCCCCAGTTCCATCAAGCACTCGACGCTGCCCAGGGGCGAACAACGACCAGGTCACTGTGGCGACTACCTATTGGACAGAAGTGGCAGCACAAATCCGGCGTCACTCTTATTGGTGATGCGGCTCATTTGATGACGCCTCATGCTGGCGAGGGCGTGAATCAAGCCCTCGAGGATGCCATGTTGCTTGCTCGAGTGATCCTCAAAGCTCAGAGTACCGAAGAGCTCGACGAACGGATTCGTGGATTTGAGTCCGACATGATAGCTCGTGTCAAGCCGATTCAGGAGCTGGCTTGGAATCGCTGCCAGGGGCTCATGTTCACCGAGGGCGTGCCAAAGTCTCTTGTCGACAGGGAGATGCGGCGTCGGAAGCAGCAAATGGCCGAGGGCAAGACGGCAGAGGAGCTCAAGGCAATGGAGGAAGCCATTGCCAAAGCTCAGGCAGAGGCTGATGCTATGAACCGAACCTGAGGCATAGAGCTACAGTATAGCCTCGTCAGCCAGAAGGTTCTCATGGCTAGATTTAGGGCCCTTTTGCTTCGTAAAGGTTGTTTGTCTTGAGTCGTTTTGATGTTTAGTCTGATGCTGTGTTCACTCAGGTTGAGATGTCAGCGAGCGAGCAATATTGAGGTTGATTTTGATCTGTTTCATCACATGATATGTATGGGCCTAACAGCCCAATCAAATATTTCAATTATTTTTCAAATATTATCCCACCTAAACTTCTTCTGAAAAGCTCTTTCCTTTCCAAGTTGCTATAAAAATGTGTGGCAGGCACCAGAGTGCCGCGTACCTGCTGCGTCACAGCTAAGCAACCCCGCGCCAAACGTGTTTCTCTTAGACAACCAAAACCACCACCAGAGGATTCACTTGACCTCCAGTAAATGTCAACTCATCAAAAACAATAACCGTTGTCAATAGCCAGGCGAAAAAGATACATCATCCAACATGCCGACCGAAGGCGTCTACATACGTCCATCCGGGCAGAAGACCTTCATCCCGTTGGAAAACAACCCGGAAGTATTCACATCGCTCGTGCACGACCTCGGAGTATCACCCGACCTCGGATTCTACGATGTCTACAGCCTCGACGATGCCGATCTTCTTTCGTTGGTGCCACGTCCAGTTCTAGCCCTGATATTCATCACTCCTGCGCAGATGTATTTTGCCGTTCGCGAGGAAGACAAGACTGTCGTGTCACCTACACAGTTGACCTACGATAGAAGTGGTGGTGACGAACCTATCATCTGGTTTCAGCAAACAATCGGCCATTCATGCGGCCTTATGGCGTTGTTGCATTCCGTGGCCAACGGCGAGGCGAGGGAGTTTGTCCAGAAGGGGTCCTTCTTAGATGGCCTGCTGAACGAAGCCACGCCGCTCAAGCCCGTCGAGAGGGCAGCCTTGCTGTACAACAATGAAGAGCTTGAGAAGAAACACATGAAGGCTGCCAGAACTGGGAGTTCTCATCCACCTGGGGCAAACGAAGACAACCATTTCCATTTCATCTCCTTCGTCAAGGGAAAGGATGGTCATTTGTGGGAGCTGGAGGGCGCCACGGACGGCCCCGTAGACCGAGGACTGATGCGGGAAGGCGATGATGTGCTGAGTGAAGGGGCTCTGGGCCAAGCGATACGCAAGTTCTTGGTAGCTGGAAATGGGAATCCGAACTTTAGCATTGTAGCATTGGCCAAGAAGCCTGCTGAGTGAGATGTCGCGTCGTCATGAAGGAAGCCTGTATTCAGACTATACGAGAACCGACAGAGATCAGTATGCATAATAACGAAAAATAAAGATACATTGATTCCATAGGGCCGATTGAACATTCCCTAGCAAGCCAAGCAAGTCGCCATGTAGCACTGCGTATCTTATCAGATCTTGATCTCAAACAGGGCTCCTTTTAGATGCGTGGTGGGACGGGAAGCGTCGCCGAGCCTTAGTGCCGGGGTCACGCCGCCATTTCGGAACTTGAAATCCGACTTGCTCCAAACAACTTCAACTTCCCTCTTGAAGCTTATGGGCGCGACACATCGCGGCACCAGCGTCGGAGTTTGCCATCGCAATGGATAGCTCCCAGGCGCCGCTGATTTCGAACAATCGCCACGATGACGATGCGCCGTACGATGCCGTTGACGACGAGCCTAGATCCAGAGCTTCCCCAGCGAAGGCGATCGACGGCCATCCTGGCTTGTTTGTTTTGATTTTGACCTTTGCTGCGGGCATAAGCGGGCTCTTATTTGGATGTGAGTCTTTTTGGTCGTCTATGGGCTACGGGAAGCTGCTGACGATCCGGATGTTCTCTAGATGATACCGGTGTCATATCTGCCACGCTCGTCTCGATCGGAAAGGCGCTGTCGGACCGAGATCTCACTTCGATGGACAAGTCGATCATCACGTCGTCAACCTCTTTGTTTGCGCTTCTCATATCGCCGTTCTCTTCTATCATTGCCGACCGGCTAGGCCGCAAACGAGTCATTCTATACGCTGATGTTCTGTTCATCGTTGGAGCAGTTCTGCAGGCCGCCAGCTCTACTGTGTCGGTCATGGTAGTCGGTCGCTGCATTATCGGCGCTGCGGTGGGAGCAGCAAGTTTCGTGGTGCCTCTGTACATCGCTGAGATCGCGCCCTCGTCATACAGAGGCCGTCTGGTGACTATCAATGTGCTCTTCATTACGCTCGGGCAGATGGCGGCGTACATCATTGGCTGGGCGCTGTCTACATATGCGTCGAAAGAGACTGGGTGGCGATGGATGGTGGGATTGGGGGCGCTACCGGCGGGCTTGCAGGGTGCTCTTGTCGCCTTCATGCCAGAGACACCGCGCTGGCTGGTAAAGGCCGGGAGATCTGATGACGCCAAACGTGTTATTCAAAAGGTCAATGGTGTACAAGGACGATTCGATGGCACTGTAGATGCTATCATCAAGGAGATTGAGATTGAGGTCCGCGAAGAGGAAGAGGCACGGCATCTTCAAGACCGCCAGGCATCGGGCCCTTGGAAAGGACTCAGTGCATGGCACGAGCTCTTGGGTGAGGGCAAGCATCGCCGCGCACTAGCTATTGCGTGTCTCTTACAGGGACTGCAGCAGCTGTGTGGTTTTGTAAGTGCTTCTTGAGCACCCTGAGTTTACAACCTCCCTGTGACTAACATGGTATGACTGTCTAGAACTCGCTCATGTATTTCTCGGCCACTATATTCTCCATCATGGGGTTTGAGAGTCCTACATTGACATCTCTCATCGTTGCCATTACGAACTTTGTCTTTACGCTTGTTGCGCTGGGCCTCATCGACCGTATCGGCCGCCGACGGATCTTGTTATACTCGATACCTTTTATGGCTTTGGGCCTGCTATTAGCCGCAGCCGGTTTCTCATATCTATCCCTGGAACCGTCACCGGCCGCTCGAGATGAGGATGCCACGGCGCCAGCAGGCGAAGGTGAGACCAGGTCGGCCGTCGTCGTCCTCGTTAGCATTATGATTTACGTGGCATCATATGCTCTGGGCCTAGGCAACGTGCCATGGATGCAGAGCGAGCTGTTTCCTTTGTCCGTACGTTCAGTGGGCAGCGGAGTTGCGACGGCAACCAACTGGGCAGCAAACTTTGCTGTTGGCTTGACATTTTTGCCGCTGATGGATGCACTGAGTCCATCGTGGACGTTTGTCCTTTATGCGGCGGTCTGTGCCGTTGGGTATGGCCTTGTTTGGCGGATATATCCCGAGACGGCGGGCTTGAGTCTGGAGGAGGCCACAGCGTTGCTAGACAACGGATGGGGCGTGCGACGATGACTGAGCGATTGACTTGTATTTTTAATCTAATTTACTCTGACAGAGCAAGGGACATATTTCACAAACGCGGAATTAGAGCCGACTTTTGCCGACTTTTCAGGGACCGCGTTGCCATGGTAGCTGTGTAAGAGTGTCTGGGATTGTGCAAGGTATATGCAAGGTACCGCAGTCGGTGGCTGGAACCCTTCACCTGGGGGGGAGGCTCAGCACTGGAGCATTCTAGAAAACTTCCAGACGGCGCGTCCGTCGAGTAAAGAGAGGGATACATGCACACGGAATCAGTTTGATGCAACGGTTGGGTGGTGATGGAAGCTACTAAGTGGGAGACACGCGCAGATTATGAAACTAGATGAATGTCATGCAAAGGGCACATGTACTAGACTTAGTACCTGCTTGTTGTCTTATTGCGGCTTTACGGATGAGTATACGGAGTGCTAATACATTATACTGCGAAATGAGTCGGATTTATCTGTGCTGAGAAATAAGTGTCTTATCGTCAATCTCAGATGAAGCACCACGCAGAGACAATGTGGTAGATCTACACTAAATATACAAGAGTATGTAGATGCATGTAGACAGCACATGCTATTAATAGGACACAAACTCGTATCTCGCAGTGACCATCAACCACACTTTAAACTCGTGGTACATGACTCCGTTGGGCAGCTATAAATAAAAATTCACCAATTCACCCGCGCGGCGGCCAGTCACATTGAAATGCTGCCCAACGTTACTATAGCGCAGTTCAGCCACTAACAGTCTGCGGTTCCTGCGCTGGCGCTATTGATTCGTTTGATCTGCTGATGTGCAAGTTGCGCATGTCGTGCCCCCCGTCGATTGGCGGTGCATCAGGGCTGGCCAGTCACTGGGACGGGATAAAAGATAGGGGGTTGAAAGAGGAAAAAAATGAGAAACCCAGCGATAAAAAAAATAATAATCCTGGTGTGTGTGTGCGTGTGTTTTATGTCGCTTCTTCCATCTCTCAACGCTTCCATCTCAACTCAACTCATCTCATCTCATCTCATCTCTGGGCGAAGCTCACTCACTATAAGCTTCCACATCTCTCAGCACCCAGTAGTCAGCTGCATTGTTTCTTTTTCGCCTGCACAACAGAGATAACGAACCCTTGACCTCTGGAACCTTGTCTGAGACACCTTTTCTTCTTAAATCAGCAGTACTTCGTATTTCTCCTCAACGCAAACGGAGCTTTTATGAGCCTCCATCGGACCCGAAGCTTCTCCGGGCCACCTTGCAGTACACAAGACACTGGACTGAACTGGCAGAGGTATCTAGTAGAGGTAGAGGTACATGGCACGTGCAGTTCAGGTGGACGAACGGACTTGCGCTTACCACACACAGACCCCCTCTCGCTCTCTTCGCTCAACATACGAACCCGGCACACAAACCAGCCTCTCGCAGCGCCATTCCTTTTCTTCTGCTTCTCTTCTGCTGTCGTCTTTTCCTCTCCGGCCCTTGGAGTCTTTCCGCTGTGAATCCATCGCCACATCTGGCCTTTCGCTCCCGCCGCCGACTCTGTGTGTGCGCATCCCGAATACGGCCTCTTTGCTTCTGCCGTCCGCCGCTCGTTGGATGATGTGACGCTTGTTCGTTGTCGCACTTGACTGTCGCTGTCTGTGTTTATAGATTGCTTGGACGAAACAACTCAACGCCCAAACGACCGACTTAATCCGCATCTCGTCAAGCATATATATATTATATATACCATTACTCGTTTGTTCGCTCTCAGCTCCGCCACACGACGCTTTCCTCGACCCGCTAGCCAGCCACCCGTTTGGCTCCCGCGATCACGGCCCGTCGAGCGAATATCAGGGGGGAAGCCGATCTGACAAGAAACCGCAACGCTATCCTGTCTTTTGAAGGGGCCAAAAGCGAACAAGAAGAAGATTAGAAAACAGAATTTAGAAGCGAAACGATGCAGCCGCAAGCTCCTGCCGCCCAGAGGGCGTATTCGCAGCGGCGATCCCCAGGCGCGATGGATCCTGGGCCTCCGCCCAACGTTTCGGTGCGAGCCATCTCTCCTGGCATCCCGCCTGGCAACCCTCAGCGGGCGTCCAACGTTTCCATCAGATCCGCTCCGTCCAGCAGCGGTTCAAGAAGAACAACTCGCGAGGTATGTCATCCCCTTGTTTGCCCTGGTTCTGGCGCCTGGGCGTCGCAAATCCAGCGGCGCGACTCGAGCTGACCGTGCGTGCAGGGTTCATCCGGATCGGGAAGCGGCTCCAACATGCCCTTATCGCAAATCGAAAAGAGCGTCACTCACCTCCTTGTAGCCACTAAGCAGCTGCTGGAGACACTGACACAGTGGTCGCGCGGCCAAGCAACCGATGCGCAAGTCTCCGATGTCTATGTGCGATTAGGCTACGAGTTCAACATGGCTTGCCGGGCCTTTACGGCCATCAACGTCGACACCTCCGACCTCGGCAACGTCCCCGACCTACTGCGAAGCATTCTCGAGGCCTGCCTGAGCCAAGAAGCGAGCGCCGAGAGCTTGGAGAAGTATCTGCCTAGGATTCGAGATATCATCATCAACCTGCTCCACGGTTTGAAGAGGAAACAGCAGAGATTGCGCCAGAAGCAAGGGCGTGATAGGGATGGCTCCGCTGTGCCAGAGAGAACCACCAGCGTTAGTACCGTCGGAAGTGGAAGTGGCCTGGTCAATATGCTGGAAGATATGGATAGCCACCGATCGAGTTCACATCGACCAGGATCGGGTCCGCAGCAGAATGGTGGATCATCGCCCACGCGGCGCTTCAACGCTGATCGAGACCAATCTAGGGGTTCGGTCGCTTCAGAGATGTCGTCTGCTTCAAGCACCACCATGCAGAACTTTTCCGTTATCCCGCCCTACCCGACAGACGAATCGTCTCTGCCAGCAGTGCCACCGGCTCCGGAACTCAACATCGACGCTTTCCCGCCGCCGCCTCCGCCACCGCCGGATAAGACATCGAGTGCCCTGGCGGCGCTGCAAAAGGGTGGTGATTTGGAAAGAAGAGCGTCTCGAAGATATTCCCAGTACCAGATTTCAAAGCACCTTGGGGGATCCGGCAATGTCGTTCCCATGCTACCCTCGCAGACTGGGCCGACGCCGAACAGAGGAAGGAAAGAAGCGAGGGAATCTCTACGCGCCGTCCAGTCGCGCGAATCTGTTCGACATAGCCGGACTGCATCTCAGATCAAGGCTGGTTCCAGCTTCGACAACTCTCCCATTCGAGTACCTGCTCGGGTGCAAGAGGAGGCCTCGCCTAACCAGCCATCAGTCGTCGTCGAAAGCCCATCTGCGCAGACTCCAGACGACAAGTACGCTCCCAGCGCGACTCTTTCCGGTCCTCTGAACGATTCCAATCCTTTCATGGCTGAAGCTCCACGCCCGGGGTCTAAGAAGGAACAGAAAACCAAGCTAGATGATGCCCCAACATCAACCCCTCATCCCGCAGAGTCAAAGCCAAACGAGCCCTACTTCCAAGTTTCGCCTCCGCCGACGCCGACGAAGGACTTGACACTCTTCCTCCAGTACAAGTCAAAGGTTAAGAAGATTGTTCTACCCGAAGGTCGCGACGAACTTTCCATCGGGCGCCTTCAGCTGGCATTCATCGAAAAGTTCTCGTGGAACACGCAGCAGAACGGGACTGATTTACCAGAGATCTATATCCAGGATCCTGTGTCTGGTGTGCGCCACGAGCTGGAGGATTTAAGCGACATCAAGGACCGAACTGTTCTAGTGCTCAACGTGGAGCCTTTGGATGAAGTTAAACGGCACATTGATGAGGGCATGTTTGCGCTCACCAAGATAGTCCGAGAGGTGAAGCAGAATGTTGATGACCAAGCCGTCACTCTCCAGCGGGTGTCGGATCGTCAACAGGAGGCCGCCAAGGAGATGGCCCAGATTGTCTTGGAGCAAGCCCAACAGGTGGCCGTGCCGGCTGCGGACGGAACAAGGACGCTCTTGGGAGCCGGTCGAAAGCTCGACAGTGGCCAAATGGGAGAAATCCAAAGCCTGCGGCGCGACCTCGCTGTTCTCCGACAAACCTACTCGACTTTCCAGTCCGAGGTTCAGACTTCCATGTCCACCCTTCGCACCAAGGCTGCCAATGTCAAATCTTTGGCTGCCAAGGCCGCGATCCCTAGCATGGATGGAGATGCCGGTTACGCCTATGTTTCCAACGGCCGGAAGCAACTTAACGCCGACTCCGACCGATTGGTCGCCAAAGTTGACGATCTCCAAGATTTGGTGGAAGATTTGCGAAAGGATGTTGTGCACCGTGGCGTTCGACCGCTACCTCGACAGCTTGAAGGCGTTGCCAAGGATGTTACAAATCTTTCCAAGGAACTCAAGGCAATGGAAGACTACATGCACAAGGAGAAGCCAATCTGGACCAAGATTTGGGAGAAGGAGCTTGAAGACGTCTGCCAAGGTCGTGATGAGCTGCGCATTATGGAGGAGCTGCTTATCGACCTGCGCGACGACTTGGAGAAGGCATCAGAGACCTTCACACTCGTTGAGCAGGCTACAAAGGAGCAGATGAAGGACAGCGGAACCGGTCACAGTGCCAGTACTGCCCGCACCTTTTCTAAAGGCCTGAACAACCTTGGCAACAGTCTTGACCAGAACGCTGCCAAGGAAGATATGCTGGGCGAAGTTCGAGCTTTACAGCCCAATCACCAAGATCGTCTAGAGGCAATCGAGCGCGCGGAGAAGCTACGCCAGAAGCAATTGAAGAATCGTAGCGACAATGCACTTCATCGCGAGATGCACGCCTTTGTTGCCGAAGGCAAGCTGAAGAAGTCGGGAGGTTTTGAAGAAGTTGAGCGCGCTCGAATCGCCAAAGACGAGAAGATTCGACGTGAGGTCTGGGAGCGGATGAACGGCTATGTTGCTGGAGACGATGAAGAGGAAGAGGAAGAAGAGGAGGAAGAGGAAGAGGAAGAGGGCGAAGAAGAAGGAGAAGGAGAAGAGGTTGCAGAGGAGGAAATCAACGAAGACGGCAACGGTAGCCAGCCTGGCTCGCCCAAGAAGACGGATGCCGCCGCGGCAGCCAACGAATCGTGATGAGACGTTTTTACGACTCCTTGCGATATACTGAGGAAGGGAAAGGGGCTGCATACTCTCTTTTTGCCGGAGCAATTTCCTTTCGACCACATGTGGCTTTGTACATGAACAACTTGAACGTCGCCCTTCTTTTCAAGTTCACCACTCTCCGGGCTTGACCCCTTTCCTCGATCCCCCCCTTTTTTTCCTTTTCCTGTTAATGTTGATTGATATGAGGGAATCCAGTTAGACGATTGGACAAAGATATCTGTCATTATCACGACGTCTCCTTTTTTTTTCTGGGAGTATGTTGCTACATAATCCGTCTTTAGATTTACCCCTCTACTTCGCTACCGTTGATCGGGCTGGTCTGGTCTATCCTGTTTATTCGACTTTTTTTTTGTATGAGATTGATGGTAAAGAAAGTATGTGTGTTGCTTTTTTTGTGGAAGGGGGGAGAAGACTTCATTGATGGGATGGCCTTTGATTGATGGGCTGATTGACTAATTAGCTTGTGATTGAACTCATAGCGGAGGCGAATGACGGATTCTGCTTTTTTTTTTATCTATATCTTGTTTATTTATTATTATATCAGTTGGTTTTTTCTTTCTTCTTCTTTTTATTCTTTTGTGCTGCATGTAGCTTGGATTTTTTTTCGTTGTAGATTGGAAGAGATTGAAAGTTGCCCCTCGTGTTATGGCTGGTGTGGCGGGCGGTGTTGGTTTTTCTATGAAGGATTGATTAGTGGATGATATTTGAATTAAGAATATATACGCAAGCCTGAGTCCATTGCTCAAGACATATAATTGTTGATACAGTTCTAGGGCAAGTGATGCTTTTAAGAAATAATTTGTTAGAATTGAGCCGGGTGATAGCAAACATCAGTCAGACTTCCCTCTTTTCATCAACCAAGAGAAATTTTACTCCAAATTCCCTTGGAAACTATACATTGAAAATAAATAAAAGAATATAACTCCGAATCATCCCAACAATGCTAGTTTCTTCATCCTTGATATCACAGGCGGCTCCATCTTCTTGCCCTGCTCTTGCATCCACTCCTGGAACACGCCCTCACCACCCGTAGCTTTCCACTCATTCGCAACAGCAGCCTGTTGTTGGTCCTGCTGCTGCTGCTGCTGCTGCTCCGCCGACACGGCAAAGACTTCCCTCACAGCAGCCTCGCACGCCTCCGTAACATCCGCCATGAGCGTCTCCGCCGCGCGAGCTCGCTCTGCCATGCCTCTTCTCACGAGAGCAAACACCAGCCTCTCCACCTCGGACTTGGACGCCTCCACACGCTCGACCAGCCGTCGCACGCTGTTGACGAGATATTCCTCCTCGTACACGGTGCCCTTTCGCCCTCGAGCACGCTTCTTCTCCTCTCGTCTTCGGTTCTTGCTGGTAGCTCTGCTGACGCCCGTGCCGGCGGTACCAACGCTGCCTGCCTTGCCAGTATATCGCGTGAACAAACTCGCCGAAGTGCTAACGCGCGAACTCGCCACGGATACATCATCAGGGATGTCCATCCCGCCAGCACGCTCGCCTTCGTAAAAGGCAAGAGGATCTTCAGCAGCTTTGAGTCTCAGCTCAGCAACGCGAGGGACCTGTGCGCGGAGCTGAGCTTTGCAGTCGGCCAGGAACTCCGTAGTTCGACCAAGAGCCTCGGCGAGCCCAACGTCAATGGCAGACTCGAGAAGGTCGGGACGTGAGTTCTGAATGACGAGGCGGATGGCTTCGGCGAAGTGGTAGCCCCGGCAGAGGCACTTGACAGCCATCTCGAGCGAGGCAAGGTAATCGAGATGAATGGTGGCGGCGGCGGAAAAGTCCTTTGCCTCCCAGAGAGCATCTGCAAGAGCGGTAGCAAGCTCGGCTTTGTTGTCTGCGGACAGAGGGGGATCTTGTTGGTAGGCAGTGAAAAGACATTCTTGCCAACATGTGGCACCGGCTGAGCGGTAGCAGCTGGTGGCTTTGGCATAGTTCTTGATCGATTCATATGCCAGGCCTGCTTCGCGGTATTGAGACCTAGACTCTAGGTAGATGGCATAGATTTCAGTCAAGGTCTTTAAGCGCGGCGGGTCGTATCGGTAGAGTTTGAGAGAGTCTTGGTAGAGGTCGTGCTTGCTGGTGTAGTTGCACAGCTCGTCGAATGCATCCAGAGCTTGAAGATGAGCCAAGGCCTTTTGTCGACGGGAGAGATGATCGTCAATCTCGAACTTGCGACGAAGCTGGGAAAGGACATGGAGGTTCTGAATAAAGGGGAGGTATTCTCTTGGGTCTCGCTGAGACTGTTGCGCAACGAGCAAAGCGAGATCAAGATTATATAGGCCTAGGGCGTTTTCATATACCCGGTTGACGTCGACCAGGAAGCAAATGTGCTCCACTGCCTTTTCTGCAAGCTTTTCATCTTCTTGCATGAGTTCAGCAACGAGCGTCAGTCCGTCATCCATAGCAGGAGGGACCTTGCAGACGTGAGCGGAGATGATATTTTGGAGGTGAGTTGCTTTGTGAGACTGAAGGGCCTTGAGAACTGCGTCACAGATGGCATTGACCTTGGAGCCGTGAGGTTTTTGTGAAGGCAGATTTTCAGAGGGAGCATTGATGCCGTAGGACTGGGCTTTTGTCCGTTTGGTGTCTTGATACATGGTCTGCGTGACATTCTCCTCCCTGTGAAACAAAGTCAGTGACTGGCGGTAAGGAGCATTTCAATTAGAGAGCCTTGATTATCCGTACCTGAGCGATGAGAGGAAGAGATCAATGTAGGAAACCTCCTTTAGTTGGTCCAAGAAGAGTCCGACACAGGAGAGGAACTGCTCGGGCTTGTGGTCATACAGAATGTTCATATCGACTCTCTGTGATCGGCAGTATGAAAAGGCTCGAGCATAGTTCTTTTCCTCAATGAGGCTTCTAATGCCAGCAACTACCATGGCTCTGGGGAAGATGGTTTCCAGGTTGCCTCGCGGCATCTGCAGAACGATGCTCATGTTGGTTGGCATTGCGGTAACTAGACGCGAACCACGCTCCACGCTGCGACACCGCTCATCCTTTTCAGGATCATCGCCGGGAACCTCCAAATCTGATCCTAGTTAGCACGCCATCAGCCATGTTCATATCTCGCACCATTTCAGACTTACCCTCGACATCTGCCACCAGATGCACGTACTTGACGAAGTGATTGCTAGTGGTGAAGATGAGATGGTTTGGCGTAACAATGAAAGATGTGCAGTTCTTGGCCAGCAGTCTAGAGTTTGCAAAGATGTGGCCCGATCTTGAAAGACCAAAAGCCATCTCAACGTCATCATGCTTGCTGACTTCGAACCACGGAAGCTGTGTCGTGAATTGAATGGGAAGAAGGTCGTCGCCAGAAGTGGAAAGCCTATACAATTTGCCGGACTGGTCTTGGCCGTAACTTTCCGCGGTAGAATCATCGTCCCGTGTTGTGGTAGCTGCCAGGGTCAGACTGCTGTCCAGCATACTAATCTCAGCAGAGTTCCCTTCGCCAGCAGATACAACCAACTGCAGAGGGCCCAGGTCGTCTTGGTAGCCCATACAACGCAGGCTGTTGTCGGACACCCAGCAGATTCTCAGGGGCATGTGGTGCTCGGGCATATTAGGGGTATCAAAGGGCAGCTTGAGCCGCTCCACTGGCCTAGTAGATCTTCCATTCTTCAAGGGCAGTTCGTAGAGATCCACGCCTTTCTGGTGCAGGACTGCGAATGAGGAGTTTTGGTGTCCAAACGCTACATCAACAACAGAGGACTCAGCCTTGACCTCGAACAGGGCCATTGGAGGAGGCACGTTGGCAGTGCGAAAGGGGGTAATATTGACAGTCTCGCCATCGATGACAGCAACTACGCCGTTATCGTTGGGCAGCCGGCATGAGCCCCGAGATGTGTGGAAGATTTGCTCAGCCAGGATGAGGCTCCCGGCGGATGCTGCCGCAAACCGGAGCGCCTTTTCTGAATGCCACGCTAGGCAGGCAAACCCTGGCTCCATAGCAATTTCTTGCTTGAGATACCAGTGGTAGTTGCCCATGGTCCATAGCTGGATGGTATCCGTGAGAATGACGGCCAAGACCGTCGAATCTGAGTTCCACTCGAGCCGGATGCGGGCGTCACTGGCATCCAAAGCCGTTCCGTTGGGCGATCGCAGAGTGAACTGTCCATGCCGTAGGCCATTGCGCTCAAAAAATACAACGTCGACTCGATCCGCCAAGCGCTGAATACCAGCAATGAGGTTGCCGGACGGTCTCCAGCTCAGAGCGCCTTCAAACCCATCGACGGGCTCGCTAGCGCTGTCGAGCTCTCCCTCACGAGAATACACCCTAATTACTCGTCGAAAGCCCTCTTGGACCGAGTTGATGGCCACAAACGCGCCATCTCCGCGCCAGCTAATGGACACCGCTCCATCCTCGTTGGTGCTCGGAAGGCCCTGGTCGACTTTCTCAGGAATCGTGGGATCTCGGAGAGCCTTTGCGCCGCGGCCCTGGAACTGTGTTTCCTTCTTACCCCAACCAACAGACACATGCTTTGACGCCTTGAGATCTTCCTCTGTCATTGTGACTTCGGCAACGGGGTCGAAAGCGCCTCCCATGAGGACGACAGTGTCAGCCTTGGTGACCACGGCAAGCAGCTCCTCGTCCGGGGACCATCGTGCGGCCGCAATTCCGGCATCAATAGATCCCATAATCTCAATGTGAACATGGCCGGACGAAAGATCCTCCCTAACCGTAATGATATCACCGCCTTCGAGAACGAGACATGTTGTGCCACTGCCGCTCAAGTGGTGGATATTGACGATGCGGTCGACGAGGAGATCGGGGTTGGGGCTGGGCGCATCCCATCGAGTGAGTGTGCGACGGTTTCTTTGAGAACCTACATGTCAGCATTTGTTTCCCCTTGTTCTACACAGCCAGGAAGATGCGGAATTTCGTAAAGAGAGAGCAGAAGTAAGGAAGAAAAAGAAAAGAAAAGAAAAGATAAAATCGTGCCCCGCCCCCGCCTCAGTCGCAAAGCAAAGCACAAACGATGCAGCAAAAACGCACATGGAATCAGCGTCGGACAATCTGACCAGCTCAATCGTCGGGTTGTCGGCAGTCGGTCCGACGGTGCACACAATCTCGTCATTCTCGGGATCCCAGCAGGCGGCGGTGATGTCGGGATGCCGCCATCTCCCGAACCGGAGGTTGCGAAGGTTGCGCATCGTGAAGAGGCGGCTTGGAGGGGCTCACGATGCCCTTGTCGATGGGCTGATGGATGGAACGAGTGGGAAAATCGGGTGACTGGCCTCGTCCTCGTATCCTTGTTTTGTTGGTTTTACCTGTTCCACGGGTGTATTGTATTGTATTGCCCTTTTGTGAAGTCGAGCGTCGTGGATGTTGAGGCTATTGGGATTTATTTTGTTGAAGTAAAATCATTTTGGATATTTTTTTTTCCTCCACCAAGGCTGGATGACTCGCAGCCTGAAGCCGTACTTTTGGCGGCTGATCGGCGCTAGCAAGGGCCGACATTGATCAACCTTTAATTGAGCACAGTGTATGCGGAGTGATTCCACTCATTCATTATTACCGTTACTGGCACGTGAATGCATTATGCTCTATGAGATAATCAGAGTCATCCTGTAATCAACTGACGGAAGCAAAAAAAAAAAAAAAAATTCCAGATTTAGGAAGACATTGATTGACAAGCGCATGCGGGAATCTGTCGGCAAATGCTGGCGTTGATGCCGCATGCATTGCATCCATCCATCCAATGCTACCCCCGACTCCATCGCCGCCTGTAAATCAGCCAAGTTGCAGCGTCATCAGCGGCCTACAGTGCGCTGTTGCCATTGGCCTCCAGCGGCAGATGACGGCACCCAGGCGAATCACGGGCAGCCTCCAACCTCGGGAAACAAGTTCTGGTCCTGCAACCGTTGGAAGCCAAATCATATCAACCGTCTTGTTCCGCCTCCCTTTGCTCTGCTCCCTCGTCGTCCCCTCTACTAAATGCAATTCGTTAGCACTTTTATCTTTACATGTGCTGTTTAAATCTCTGAGCATTGTTAATTGATCACACTCGCAGCTGGCAACCCGTGATCCTCGGCATCTCGTCAAGCTGTCCGTCACTCGGCGGTCAAAACTGCCACCATGGACGTCTCATATGTTCCTCACGCCGAGCGCGTTCGACGCAAGAATCGATCTTCCACAAACATCAACCATCTCTCGCTGGCTCCTCTGACGACAAAGCTTCCCATCGATGACGACGAAGCCATCGTCGACGCCGCCGTGCCTCTGTCGCGCCCGAGCACCTCATATCTGCAGGGCAAGTCTGCTCCCACCACGCCTCGGCTTCTAGCCAGCTCCGCAACCAAGCCGCGGTCACGGTCGAGGTCGCAGAACCGGACACCATCCGCCTCGGGCGCCCCGATCCCCAAGAGCAAGTCGTCGTCGCACCTCACCGGCGCCAATGCGGCGAAAAGGACTGCGACCGGCACTTCGACGCCCCGCCGGCGACACGACGAGGCGACCGACGGCGATTGGCTGCTGAGGACAGGAGCATTGATGACTTTTGAGGCGAGGGAATTCAAGGGCCAGTCGTGGCTCGTCTCGCGGCAGAGCTCGACGAGCCTCACGGGCATCCGGAGCATCGAGGACGTGGCGTTTGAGGACGAGCTGGCGCGCGAAAGAGGGATGACGAGCCTACTTGCAAGCAGGCGTGGCAGCCTGGCAGACGATGACATGTCCATTTCCGTGATTGGCAGCAAGATACACAGCCGGTCTCACAGCATTCACGGCAGCCGGAGCCAACTCATGACGCCTGTAGAGCGACTGATGGATGACGGCTCATACTTCCCGAACCATGAGTCGCTCGCCGGGCCCGACTTCATCGACCTGGACGAAAGGCTAGAGGAGCTGGAGCGAGACATGGTGGAGGACGCCGAGGCCGCAGTCAAGAGGCTGATGCGGCGAAACACCCCGGGCAAGGCTGGGTGGATGACGAGCTTCATGGGGTGGAATCTCTTTTCGGTAGACGAGCAGGAGGAGACGGACGACGAGTCGGAGTATGACGAGTCGCTGGCGAATTCGCGATCGCAGGAGGACCGGAGCGCGTGGCTTCAGCGTCACGTCGAAGGGCCTCTGGACCCGGAGGACTTTGTGCCGCCTCCAACGACGGACGAGGGGAGCTGGAGCGATGCGGCATGGCTGCTCAGCGTAGCGTCAAAGGTGATATTTTGAGAATGGAGCATCTTTCTCCGGCACCAGTGGTAATGGATTCTCGCTTCAAAGCCGGCCTCATGAGCTTGCCATTCCATATTCTTTTTCCTTCTCTCTCTGTCTTTATTCCTTCAATCTAGTGTGTTAATAGCAGTGGTGGTTTTTTCCCCAGATGAATCGATCGATCGATCGAGGCTGTAAGTGGATACAAGCTGTTTGGCAGATGGAAACCAGAGCAGTCATTCTAAACCATCCATACAATCAATGTCATCCAATGTCTGCTTACCTACCAAGGTACTACAAGATTGTGCAACATCCCATTCCAACCACTCACTCTCTCTTCATGTAAAACATACAACCAACTATGTACACTGAATTAATGCACAACGCACAACATGCATAAAGAATATCCCGGCCAGCACCAGGTCAATCTCCACCGCATGTCTAGCTTTAGGCACGGCTCGTCTGTCCTCCCTGGCCACCACCATCTCCCATCCAGCTCAGCTTGTTCGGATCGAGACAACGGGCAATACAGTACAAGAACCCCCCGGGGGGGGGGGGGGGGGGGGGGGGGGGGGGGGGGGG